TGTGTGTGTGTGTGTGTGTGTGTGTGTGTGTGTGTGTGTGTGTGTGTGTGTAAGCATCATGTCTTTGGGGGCAGGCAGACATGGGGGATATCAAATGACAACTTGGTGGAGTTGGTTCTCTTCTTCCACCTTTATGTTGGTCCCTAGGACTTAATTCAGGTTGCCAGGCATGTGCTGCAACTACTGAGTATCAAAAATTACTCAGGTGCTTTGGAGTGTGAGTTTAATAACTATAATACTAACCCCACAGGTCATGTTTTGTAAGAAGTACGTGTTCTACAATTTAAAAAAAAAAGTACACTTTTATTAGGTTGGTGTCTAAATAATCTAGTTTGGGACTAATCTTTGCTGAATTCCTTCCTCATTAGTGCTTGGTAAATTTAAAGGCAATAGTATATGGCCAAGGCAACTTGAATTCCATTTTGTATGAATAAAGTTTTATTGAAGCAGCCTTGGTTATACGTCGTCTATAGCTAAGTATGATTTATATTGAAATTTCAACTGACGGCCTGAATAGTTGTAACAGACTATCAGAACCATAAAACCTAACATTTTTATGGTCCATCCCTGTGGGAAAAAGTCAACCTATAATTGAATAAATGTGTATTATCTGTAAGCATAAATCAACTTCACTAATTTGTTACACTGAATTTATTAAGAGGAAATGTATATCAGTATTTCTAAGCTATCAACAGTAAGGAAATAAAGTATAAGCAGAATTAGTTCTGACGTTGTCTAGTTCCCTTTATACAATCAATGTTTTTAATATTTAAGCAAAGATTAATCCTTATTAAGGAAATACTTTTACATTTATTGCCTTCTTATCTCTCTTTGTATATTTTGTTGTTTTGTTTGTCATAAATTCTGCTTGGATAGCTTTATCTTCTGCTCCTATTTCCTGAGCTTTTGTAAGATGAGCCAAGGCTTGATTATATTCTTTTAATCCTAACTATTCTTGAGTTCTGCCATATAATGCTTTGGTATTTGATGGGTCCATTTCAAGGACCTTCAGTCAATGGAACTGCCCCCTGCCAATTTGACATCTTCACTTTAAAAGTGCCAATATTCAGTACATAGCAGGGATCAAAACGTAAAATGAGGACCATCTGTGCATGCACTTCAAAATAATTCCAGATATTGTAAAAAGATTTAGAAAAATATGCCTGAATCTTCATAATGTTAATTCTTTAGAAAGTTTGGCTTGCCTATTCATGCATCTTAAAACTGTGGCCCTCCAAAAATGAATCTTTGCAAAATTAAACTTTCAGATCGCACACCCGAATGTTTAGGGCCAGGACTTAAAATGTTAGGATTAGCACGTGAAGGTGTTTGACATTTTCACAAACACACACAAAAAAATCTTATGTGCCAGGCGCAGTGGCACATACACTTTTAAGGCAGATGGATCTCTTGAGTTCGAGGCTAGCTTGGTTTACAGAGCGCGTTCCAGAACAGCCAGGGCTACACAGAGTAACCTCGTCTCGAAAAAAAGAAAAAACAAAACCAAACAAATCTTATGGAGGGTATTTACAAACTGAATTTAGGAGACACGAGGATGGAAAACTTTGGTACTGAGTAGAAAAGATTGTCCATCCTAGGGAGAAGAAAGACAAAACGTTCTACTGTTGTTTTCTGTGGTCAACAGTATGTGGCTCGCACAATTTCCTCGGTCTGAGGCAGGCTCTTGGCCCCAATAGAGCCACTGTGGGTATCTCGCTGGAGCTGACTTCACGCCGCACGCCAACTGCTTCCGGATCGTCGTAGCTGTCACTTCCGGAGCAACATGGCGGCCACGGAGGACGACCGGCTAGCGGGGAGCGGAGAAGGAGAGCGGCTGGATTTCCTGCGGGACCGGCACGTGCGGTTCTTCCAACGCTGCCTCCAGGTCTTGCCGGAGCGGTATTCTTCGCTGGAGACCAGCAGGTAACTCGAGGCTGCCGCGGCGGGCTGGCGATGGTGGCCCTCCGGATGCGCGCCGCGGAGCGGCTGGACTGCGGGAACCTGCGGGTCTGCGCTGCTGCCGAGCCCGGCCCTGCCTGGCCTGCCCTGGGCCCCGGGCTCCCCACCACTCTGCACTTCCTTCGCCCCAGCCTCTCTCCTGGCCTCGCCGCTAGCTGCCCGCACCTTCTGCTTGCCCTCTGGGAGGTGTGGAGTTCCTAGCTCAGGACTTTGGGAATCTCCCGGTTTCGCCTCTTTTCACGTCCAAGCCATTTTCTGTGAGCTCCTCCAGTCCCCCACAACTCCCTTAACATCCTGTGAGTCACTTTTTTTGTTTCTTCACGTTTACAAAAGCAAAATACGAAGCGTTTGTCCGTCATGGCCCCTGTACTATCCTTCGCCCTTAGTTCACTGAAAGGCAGGGAAACCCTCTACTGAGATGTGATTAGAAGTTTACTTAGGAGGCATTGTAAATCTAATGGTAGGATAAAAAGGTCCGGTGTTGCCTGAAGCACTGTTAAGTCTGGAGTTGGCAAATGTTTGACATTTGACAGAGTTTAAGGAACTGTTATAGGAGAACTGAGAAAACGAGACGTTTGCTGTGCACTACTATGTTTTGGAGTGAGGCTTCAAGCTGTCTAGGGTCCGAATGTAAGAAACGTTAGTTTTTGTTTTATTTTAGACAAGATCTCACAATGTTGGCCTAACTTGCCCGAAACTCACCGTGTAGACCCACCCTGTTCTGAGACCCTCCTGCCTCTGCCTCCCAAGTGTTGGAATTAAAGACATAAACCACCACGCCCAGTAACACATTGGCTTTGTTCTGGTTCCCCCTACATTTACTGAACCAGGACCTTCCAGTATGTTTTGAACACTTTGTGACAGGTTTATTTTGGGGATTTTTATAGATGACTTCTACAGATGTGATCAAGAAATACTTAACTCAGCCTCTGGTGGTGGCACATGCCTGCAATCCCAGCACTCTTGGGAAGCAGAAGCAGGTGGATAGTGAGTTCACGGCAAGGGTAGTCTGCAAAACGAGTCCTGGACAGCCAAGGCTACCCAAGGAAACCCTGTTTCGAAAAACCAAAACCAAAACCAAACCAAACAAAAAAAAAATACTTAACTCTGGTAGGTGCAGAAATACAACTGAACAAGGCAAGCTAGCAACTCTAAGTTCTGTGCTGCCTATTAATGTAGAGTTTCTGAAGGAAATAGCAAGCACATACACTGTAATCCAGATTTCTTTAGAGAAGCCTTTCTTTACTGCCACCTGACCTCCTGCATTTATTGTTGTTGTTGTTGTTTCTTTAATAACTTATGTCACATAGAAGTCTGTCTTGTTTATAACACTGGGGCTGCCTTGTTTGAGTTGATTGTCAGTAGCCATATTTGGCTATTTTATTCTGGATTGATTAGATCTGATTTAAAATTCCATTTTTTTTTTTACAATAGCCAAAACATTTCAAGTTTTCCACCACATTTTAGCCACTGGCTGTTGTTTTTCAGCATTTACATCATTTCACTATGACTTACAGGACAGCACTGTGCTTGGCCTTTCTTTAGTGGCAGCTGGCATATAAAAGGCACCAACAAATACTTGCCAAACAATGTGAGATGAACCCTGAAGGAGGACAGGAACAGAACTTTTTTAAACATGTAAATTTTTTTATTTTATGTGTATGGGTATTTTGCTGTATTGTGACTAGTGCCCGCGGGTGCCAGAAGAGGGCCTGGAACTGGAGGTGGTTATGAGCCACCGTGTGGGTACTAGAACCTGAACCCACATCCTATGAAAGAGGAGCCAGTGAGCCATCTCAGCAACTCCAAGCTGGACAAAGTCTTTAAAAAGAAACAGTCACGTGTTGTTTATTCTTTCCTGTAGCCGCAGTCATTGCACTGCCTCATGTACTACACGCCTGCACTTCAGATGAACTGTTTTCAGGGAGAGGAATGCGGCTCAGTGGCAGAGAGGCTTCCTAGCATGCTGCAGGCCATGAATCAATCCCAGCATGAAGAAAAGAAAAGAAACAAAAAAGTCTACCCTCCCTGTGAGATGTGCAGGGATAAAGATAGAGCAGGGGGAGTGCCCAACCGATGCCCGGCCCAACCAAAGACCCACCCTATGGGAGAGTGCCAACCCCTGACACTGTGAACGATGCTTGCAGACAGGAGCCCCAAAGTGAAGGAGCTCCTTAAGAAAAACAACGGAGCCAACTAACCCGAGCCCGGAGGGGTTTGCTAAAACTGAAGCATCAACCAAGGACAATGCCTAAACTGGACCCAGTGTTGCAGTGTTGCAGTAGATGGGCAGCTTAGCCTTGAAGTGGGTCCTCTAAGTAAGGAAAGTGGGGACTGCACTGGACACAACTCATTTGCTAGCTTTTTGATCACTTTCCCCTGGCAGGACTGCCTTCACAGGCCACAGGGGAAGAAGACACATTCAGTGTTGAGTCCTGATGCAACTTGATGAGCTGGACTGGACGAAAAAGGGGAGAAGAGAGGGCGAGAGGTTGGGACTGAGAGAGGAGGAGAGAAGGGGATGTAAAGTGAATAAAGTAAATAAATAAGAAAGAAAAGAAAAAAAGTCCAAAACTTGTACCATTGATAGCAGTGAAGAGATAATGATTAACCTTGCTATCAGTAAAGATTTATGATTGCATTTTCAGAATCTAATTTATAAAATTAGATTAGTACGTGTTGGTACTACACAGCATAACCATAGCTCACTCCACACCAACCATTATATATTAGCACATATGTAACATCTTAGGTCATCGGCTGAGAGTTGCTGTCTTCACCCCTATGTCTAGTGCACTGCACTTGTATAGAATTTTTGAAGACTTATTATTTATGAATGTATACATGTGTGTAAATATATATGCATGTGCATGCAAGTGCCTGTGGAGCCAGAGGAGGCTATTAGAGCTCCTGGAGCTGGAGTTACGGGTAGTTGAGACCTGCCCAGGATGAGTACTGGGAACCTTATCCTAAGCAAGAGCAGAAAGTGTCCTGACCTGCTGAGCCATCTCTCCAGCTCCTCTAGAAGGTTTTAAAATAGTTTTTTAGTTTTTTTGTGGCACAGTAATAATGTCATATAAAAGATAACAATATTGGATTTTCAGTGTGTGTGTGTGTGTGTGTGTTTCCTTGATTCGTCTGTGTTTCACTTTGGTTTGGAGTTTGCTTTTTGGGGTTTTTAATTGATTTTAAGTTCTTGTGTTCTTCTTACTGATACAAAGCAGCCAAGCTTACTTATTTATTTATGGAAGTAGGGTCTCACTGTATAGTCCACGATGGCCTCAAGCTCCCAAGATTCTTGCTTCTTCCTCTTTAACACTGTGATTACAGTGTGCAGCCACACTAGCGTAAACACCTAGCTCTTGGGCTAACGCTGGTGTGTATATTTAGACACCCAGGGATATTTTCTAACCTGCTGTTTTTGTAGAATTATACCATTTCTGTTCTTGTACTGTGCTAATTAGGCATAACTAGGGACTGTGAGCCAGAGTTCCTGGAATGAACCACAGCTTCCATGGAAACTTCTCCCAGGCTGGCTAACTGATTAGAACTTCTGTGGTTGTGGAGAGGTTGGAATGTTGCAGGTCTATTGTTAAATTGCAGTTTGCCTTGGGCTATCTTCAGTCCCCTTAATGGCCATTCCATGCCTACCTCTGTGTCTGACCTAACATCCTTGTTACTCATAGATGAAAACATTTGAAATGTATCATATAACAGATTTCTACCAACCAAAAGGCTAAGACTGTCAGAAAATAAGTGAGGGGTCTATGCCAGAGATTTTCCCCTTTTGCTTTAATCTTCAACACCTACCTAATATTTCCACCATATATTTGAAAAGTGATTTAATTTATATGACTTTCTTTGTTCTGGTATTATAAAAAACTTTACCAAACTCTACATTGGAGTGCAGAATTTGGGGTAACCTAAATCTATGTTTCTGGGCCATGTTCACTTATATTGTGTACTGTTTCACTAAAGAGTTGCATTTTTTATTAACAAAAACAAAATTTTTAAAGACCATTCTTGGCAGTGATAAAGAGTTCGGTTATTCTGATTTGAGTCAGGTAAGTAGTGAGTGTGTGCGGGGTGTAGTGGTGACACTTGGACAGGAATTTGGAAACACTGCTCTGTGTGAGCTGACCAGGTTCGCAGGCTAAGAAACCCTTGCTTTGCTCTGTTCTTCAACAACCACCTCCAACTGGGACTTTCAAGTCTCTTCAACCATGAGGCCTCTTTGTGTAGATCTTAGGTAGGGCTGTGTATAAGTCAGGTTGCATTCTTCTAAATATTAAACGGGCAGCTTCAGGAAGAGCTAGATGGCCCTGGAGAGATAGTGTCACAGTAAAGAGTGTGTATAGTTCTTGCAAGGACCCAAGTTCAGTTGGCAGCACCCACAGTGGTTCACTTACAAACTGTCTGCAGTCCCACCCTCACAGAATCTGACAACTCTGCCCTCCATCCCTAGGCGCCTGCACTCCTCTGTGCACACACACCAATCGTTAATCACTCTAGCTGGTGGTAGGACCTGGGAGAATGGAGTTGACAGTAGGGGCAGACTAAAGTCTTACGTAATAACCAACTTTATTCATCGCATCAGTTTATACTTGGAGGCTTCAGAGGAGTCACGTAAGTCAAGTGTCCACAATCACAAGGGCAAGCTTCGCATGATGGCGACAGGCAGGTGGCAGAAACGTGTTTTTCATAGGCACACATAAACAAATGACAATAGCCAGTTGTAATGAGTAAACTAAAGCAGACTTCTATCCCCTACACCGGGAGGAGCACGACAACAGAATCCAAGAACAGGTCCATGTTTTTGAGAAAACTGAGATCACAACTCTTGTCTTGTTTTCTTGGAGTTTTCTCGCAGTACTCAGAATTCTCCTCTTGTAACTCTATTCATGGACTATGTTCGGACATCCCTAATTAAAAATAAAATAAATGTACGAATGTGTCAGACAGACAGACGTGGGCACACATCAGATAGACATGCACACAGCAAATACACAAAACTGCCTTTAGCCTTCAGGTTGTTTATATGCAGGCTTCGTGGATTCCTGTGTCTCACGGTCAGGTAGTGTTCAAGATTTTGACTATACTGCACAAGAATATATTGTGAGGTTTTATTTGTTTTGTTTTCGTATTTGACAAGGTGCGGGTGCCATTTAAATTATTTTAAAAGTAGAACGAAGGGTTTTTGCTGGCTTGGTTTTTTTTTTGTTGTTGTTGCTGTTGTTTCCTTTGGTGTTTTGCTTTGTTTTGTTTTGGGTTTAAGCCAGAAATAGTTCATTGGTTTGATAGTTAAGGTGATATTTTCCCTTTGTTTTGTTTTTTAGGTTGACAATTGCGTTCTTTGCACTCTCCGGGCTGGATATGTTGGATTCCTTAGATGTGGTGAACAAAGATGATATAATAGAATGGATTTATTCCTTGCAGGTCCTTCCCACAGAAGACAGTGAGTGAGTTTTTAGCATTTTATTTTTAGTATGATTAGCTGTTCTTGGCGTGACATGCATGGGATTAACAAATTGTAGTATTCATTTTCTTAGCATAGCTTTACATGTCCTTATTTATCCAGTAGTTCAGCACCTCCTTTCTGTCCCAATACAACATGTATCTAGTATTGCCATTAATCTGTCTTGAGAAAACAACTTTGAGTCATGGGAGTTACACTGAGATTCATAAATGTAGCAACACACTATGTTGGCTATACCTATATTAATAATTAATATTAATAATTAATTATTTGTATTTGATGTTTATATATGACTAGTCTTAGCATTTGCTCTGTTTTTTTATTCTCAGCTATTGTTTTTCCTCTTCAGAAATTTTTTCTTGCTCAATTGCTCTATTTCTTGGTCAGTTGCTGTTTTTTAAGGGTATTTTTTTTTATTTGTTTGTTTGGTTTTGGTTTTAGTTTTTTGAGACAGGGTTTCTCTGTAGCCTTGGCTGTCCTGGTCTTGCTTTGTAGGCCAGCCTGGCCTCAAACTCACAGAGATCCGAGATCCACCTGCCTCTGCCTCCCTCAGTGCTGGGATTAAAGGTATGCACTACCACACCCTGCTAAATCTCCAAAATTCATAACTTCATGAGGAGCATGTTTTGAGAGAAAGCAGCACACAGTGTATCTTTGGTTTACACAAAATATAAATGTGGCTCAAACTACCTGAAGTCATGCTGTGTGCTTAGAAGGAAGTAGAGAAGCTTCTGGAGTTTTCACATGTACATTTCACAGGAGTTCATGAGTTGTTTAGTTCTGACAGGTGTGTTTCCCTTTTTGGTGACAACTTTAAAGTTAGAATTGTGGTTTTGCCATATCTTTTGAGGTGAATTGAACGTCTATTATATTGTTAGTTACATGAACTTCTTGTTTGTTTTTGTTCATCTTTTAAGCTATTTGCCAAGCCACCCGCCCCCGCCCCCCAGAGTTTGCTAACTCCTAGAGGGTATTTTTCTTTCCTGTCAGTATGGTTAGACTGACAGTCACTTGAGTCTCCCCTCTTTTCACATTTAGTCTAGAACATTTTTTGCTTCTTTACATATTTTCTCTGATAATGCATTTATAAACTAAGTAGACTTTGCCTTTGCAACTCATAGGTCCATATTTATATGATTTTTGTCATGCTACAGAAAGTTTAGTTAAATGAAGCCTGCAGTTGATTAAGAAATTATTTGTTAGAATTGACTTTAAATTTTATGGAGTGAATGTTAAAAAAGATACATGTCAGATTTGAAGAAGATTGTGGTTGCCTAATTAAAATATTTGAGTAAAACAATGATGGCACATTAGTTTTTACCTAACTTATCAATTCAGCAAAAGTTTTAGAAGTTAGCAAGACTATGGAGGAAATTTTAATAATCTGTTACTGAAACTAAAAATATTCAAACTTAATGCAAATTTGTAGTATAATTTTTTAAAAATCTTATCTGACAAATTCTCTCCTATATCTGATGGTAGCCACACAGGTGTGTATCCACCGAGAACCTCACATTATGACCTTGGGTGAATCAGGGTTTTGCATATGGGATGAGGGCAGAGGTCGAGTTGAGGCTGGTGTTCTTTTAAGAGGACAGCAAGTAAGGACTGAAGTGTGGCATCAGCAAGCTGAGGAACGGCAAGATAGCTCACTAGAAGTAAGGAGAAGGCACCGATTGGATGTGTCCAGCCTCCAAAATAATAATCGTCATTATTTTAAAATCACTAAGCTTGGGTGATGAGATCACTGAGCAGGTAAAAGGTACTTACTACCAAGGCCAGTGGCCTGAGTTTGATCTCCAGGACTCACACGATAGCAGGAAAGAAGCAACTCTAGCAAGTTGTCCTCTGATGTTCACACACATGCTGTGTCATGCACATGCCCACACACATACATAAATGTGAACTAAAATGTTTGTTTTAGTAACAAATTAGAAACAAAATAGGTGTTCATCAAATCTCAAATATTTAATAAAATATGACCCAAGAAAAATTGCTATGATAGAGGAAAGCCTGACTAAAAGTCTGTCATATGGTTAAATGACAAATTGAAAGCATACAGGGTCAGCATGGTGGTGTATACTCATAGTTCCAGTTACCTGGAACTTGAGGCAGGAGGATGACTAGAGGACAGGAGTTCTAGACCAGCTTAGGAAATTACTGAGACCCTTTCATCTTGTCTCAGAAACAAATAAGCAAATGGAAAAACACAGGTGTTTAACAGTTAAGTCTGTAAATGTGAGTGTATAGAGAAAGCCCTTGAAAGGATAGATAGCACATATGTGTGGAGGAGGAAGTAGATGGAACAGAGCTAGGAGATATCAGGATAAGATAATTTTTTCTAGGTATCTAAAGAATTTGAATCATGAATTAAAAAAGTTCTGTTTAACCTCTCTTTAAACAATGGAAATAAACAATTTAAAATTAAAACCAATATACAAATATGTATTTGCTAATAGAAGAAATAATGTACATTATTTAATATTTTGTAATTTTTCAAAGCCCAGCCAGATCATTATCAGAGTCATTCTTTATCTAACCCAGAAGAAACTGAGAGACAGGGTGTTTGTGGGTAACCAGCTGCTTTCTGATTGGATTTTCTATGTTAGACCCACTTCACAGAAGGAAACACATTCCTAGCACGGTACATCTGACCAGACACCATGGTTGGGGAGCTCGTAGGCCCCAGAGGTGAACCTGTTACTGTTATTCTGCTAAACTGAAAACATACCAAGCTACCCTCCAGATATATAGTTTTCTGTTAATTGGTACAGCTCTCAGACCTCTTCAGAGAAGTTTCTTTGTGCAGTAGAAAGTGGTTAAAACAGAAACTCAACAAGGGGCAAAGGCCAGAGACTCTGTCTGTCTGTCTGTCTCTCTTACTCACTCTCCTACCTCTCTTCCCAGTCCAGGGTTCATTGTGGGTCCAGAGGTTGGGGAGAATAGGAGCAATACAGTGTCTTCTGGGCATAGCAGGACTTCTGCACTTGCAACCTCACAGCAGCTGTGGTTGCCTGAACAAGACCTGCACAAGATCAAGCCAGTGAGCATTCTAGCATGGCGGCAGGTAGAGCTCACAAGCTCTCACTGCTGAGGAGCTGCGAGCAGTTGGTGACTCCTAAAAAAGGATGGGACAGGACAGTGTTCTTTGTAAAACTTTCTTTTGTAGATGGCCCCCACTCAAGACTGATGAGCAGCACATATTGGAATTGAGGGATTATTAAAAAAAGAAAAGAGGACCCAGAGTTGGGGGTGGGAGGGATCAGGAGACAAGTGAGTCATGAATATGATAAAAATACATTGTAAAATTATAAAAGCATGAATGAATTTTATAAAAGAACTGTGTCTGAGTCCTTGCAGAGATTTTAAAGGATAGAGTTGAACTGAAGTAGCAGCTCTCAGGTCTCAGGTGCTGCCTCACTTCACAAGTGCCATATATCACATTTGAGGACATTGTACATAGTCAGCCACTTAACTTGGGATTGTAAAAACTCGGCTGGCATCTTATTAAGTATGTTCTTAGGCCTTTGGAACATTGGGCCCTTCTTATCAGAGGAAGTATTTAGGAATCGGGTCAGGTTGGGGTTATATCCCATTGCTCTATAGAGAAGGATAGTGAGGTCCAGAGGCTTCATAATTTGTTCACAGTAACAGACTGTAGTGACGCTAGAGGAAACACTAAGGTAATGTTTGGTTCTCTGTTGATTGAGTGCAGTAAATGCTGCAACTTTGAAGCTATTCTGACAGTAATGAACTGGCATTTTCCTTAGAGTCTGTAAGATAACACACCTAGTCAGGTAATACGGACCATCAGTAAGAAGGCTGACTACTGAGAGGAGATATACTTACTGTCGATTTTCTTTCTCAGTAGATACTTTGAGGTTGTTCCTCCCTGTCCCTCCCTCTGTCTTTGTCACCCTTTCTCTCTTGTCTGTCTTTCTCTTTGCTTATTTTTGAGGCCACCCTGTCCCTGTAACTCAGGCTACTAGAAGTTACCATTTAGCCTGAGCTACTCTTACACTTGTGGTCTTCCTGCCTCAACTTTTTGGAATTTTCAGTCTACCACCACACCTTGGTTGATTCTTAAAAAGAAAAACTTCTTCCAACTATAGTAAGTGTGGTTTCATGTAGGCTAGATACGGCAAGGTACATGTTTAGGATGACAGCATCAGTTTGAAAAACATGGTGACCCAGTCCATCCCCAATCTGTGTCTGTAGGACTCCACTAGCCGTTGATGGCTCAGATAAGTTCTAAAGCTCCAGTCTCTTAAGAAAGTCCTCCATCTGCCATCTCTTTAATCTCAGTCTTGTTCTAAAACTAACCTTTGAAATTTAGAAAACAGACAGGAAAATACTGTTTAGCTGTGGATTGCTTTGCTTTCACATGTACATTTGTTTGTTTTTGGAGCTGGGGATAAAACTGAGGCCCAGAGTATGCTAGGTGAGCAAGTGCTCTCCATGGTCTACACCCCAGCCCAGCTATTCAGCCTTCAGTCTCTTTGGGTCTTCCTTGACATCTTGAAACAAGGAACTGGGCACATTGTATTCTCCTAGTAAGAAAGTCTTGTGTTCCTTGAGACTTGTGAAGACTTGGTTCTGTATCTATAAAAGCACACATTTTAAAATAAAATTACCAGATTCCTCACTGGAATTCTATCTGCCTAGTACAGAGACCTAACTTTTAAAGTGAAATCAAACCATGGCTGGTTCAAGTTTTGAATTATATCGGCAGCCTGAGCTCACAGCGATAGTGGTGCTGTGACCTAAGCATTTTGTTATGTGTGCCTAAATCTAATTTGGAATGGATTTGCTTTTCAGAATACAGTTTTCCCTTCAAAGGGGGGAAAACATACAGCTCTTACAGAAATCAACTCCCTTTGTTAAAGTCAGTCTTTTTTGTTGTTTTGTTTTGTTTGTTCTATGTATCTCAGTTTTAACACAAACTCATATTCCCCCGCCTCAGCCTCCCAAGAGCTGTGCACTGCCACATCAAGCTGAAGTGTTTTGAAAATTCTCATTAAGTGTTTATATTTTGTAAGCTTGTGGTACGTGTGTACGTGCCACAGCGCCTGTATGGAGGTTGGAGGAAACGTCATGGAGTGGATTCTCTCCCTCCGTCTTTATATGGGTTCTAGGGATAGAACTCAGGTCATGAGCCTGGCCTGTCAGCTGCCTTTACCCAGTGAGCCATCCTGCCCAACATTGTTTGTAAGACTATCTAAATGTGCTATCTTATCCTGCTTGTCATATCTTTATTTTGAACTCGGAACAAAACCACAACCTTTACAATGAGATATTAGCCAATTATCAGGCAGGCAAAAGTCAGTTTTGTTGTTTACCTTTTTTTTTTTTAATCAAAGCACTTCTTGGTGTCATTTAAAAAATTTATTTATTTAACCTCATATTATGTGCATTAATGTGAAGGTGTCAGATCCCTTGGAATGGGCATTACAGACAGTTGTGAGCTGCCATGTGGGTACTGGGAATTGAACCTGGGTTCTTTGGAAGAGCAGACGGTGCTCTTAACCACTGAGCCATCTCCAGCCCCTTTCAAATTTGTTTTGTTTTTTAAATTAATTTATTATGTATACAATGTTCTGTCTGCATGTATACATGCACACCAGAAGAGGGCACCAGATCTCATTATAGATGGTTGTGAGCCACCATGTAGTTGCTGGGAATTGAACTCAGGATGTCTGAAAGTACAGTCAGTGCTCTTAACCTCTGAGCCATCTCCCCAGCAGTGTTTATCCTTGAAGCATATGTTTTAAACGTTCTTTGATAAAACAACCCCAAATACCTTATCATAAACATACATACACATATTCTATAAATATGTGTATTTATACATATACAAATTATTATGCTCATTGCATCCCCAGTACTCAGTTTTTATTTTTCTGATTGTATTCTTCTGTTCTATTGTTATCTATTTATTTCTATTGTAACATACAGTTGCCTGTCTGAAAGGGGTGCCACAAAAGTAGAGGGTCCATTAACCGAGATGTTTTAATTTAAAATATGGTTATCTAGGCTTCATATTCATGATTGTCATGTAACCTTGAAATAGGACCCAAGATGTCTCTTGTCAAGTTCTATGTACAACTGACTCTTGTGGGCAGACTGTATGCAAGGAACATTTTATTTGTTTTGCTCATGCAAAGTATGAACGCTAGATGGTGCTCTAGAATAAAGCTTCAGCTTTTCCGTGAGTATACTTGTGATAAATTGGGAGCAAATTGCAATTACTTGAATATGATGAAATGGTAAGTTTCTAGAATTATAAAGGAAATACCAGTAGCAAACAAACTTCATAGGAACTAGAAAGGAATGTGTAATGAACTTAAAAATGGTAAATGTGTTCTCTTAATAAACATCACTTTCAAAATATTGTTACTTAAGTATATGGCTGATAAGCCAGTTTGATATTTCTTGGGCCCTAGGTTTAATGTTAGTAAACATGCATTGAGAAATAAGATCTTTCTTTGATGTTGTTGTTTACACTGAAACTTTTTTTCAATCTATCTGCATAGTCCACAAGCAGTTCAAAAGAGCGAAGAAATACTTACATTGTCTTCCTTATGCTGGAACTGTTTCTGAAGACTGTAAATAGAATTTCATGATGGCACTGTATGGAAAAGAAGAAAGGACACTTTTTAATTTGATGAAATTTTCCTTAAAAATTCCAAAAAGGAGTGGGGACGCATTTCTATTTGTTTCAGTTTTGGTAATATTTAATTGGCCAATTTTAAATAGTTGCTGCTTACTAAGCCATAGTCATTGCTAAATTGTAACCTGAATATACCCCTTATCCCTTAAAAGAAACCTGCAACATTCTACTTGCAGGATGTTACTGTTGCAATTAGAAAGTGGAGGAAATTTCACCTGGGTCTGCTGGTGTGTGCCTGTGCTCTCATCTCTTGGGAGGAAGAGACAGGAGAATCTGGAGCTCAAGGCATTGGCTATATAACAGTTCAAAGGCCAACCTGAACTACATAAGACTGTCTCAGATAGATAGATGATAGATGGATGGTAAATTGGTTAATAGGTAGATAGGTAGGTAGATGAAACCAACTCAGACAGGTTGTTAATTGCATGTAAATACCAGGAAGAAAAGGTCATGTGTTTGATGAGTTAGGCTTCTTGTGTACATGCTAAGGAAATGACATTTTGCCCAGTACTCAGAAGCATTTTCTTTGAAGCCAGACTGTATATAAAACACTTTACTTTCTGAAATGTCCTAAGTTATCAGGGGACTCAAGAGCTTCCTAATGAAGGTATAGACCTACACTCAGAATATGCATAGAAAAGCTTTTGTCAAACAGAAGTAGAAATGGGATCAGATTTTTATATTGAATTATCAAGAGTTGGTAGCTTGGCAGGAGATCTTTAAAAAGAGGATCGTATAGGGAAATACACTTTTTGACAGTGCTTTTTTTTCACCTTTAAAATGATAAAAACAAAGTTATGATGAAAGGATAAAGGCATCTATGTGGAATTATGCTGAACCTATCCCAAAGATTCTTTTTATTCATTTTTCAGTCATACATTGGGTTCTGCTCTGGGACGTTGTAGATGAGAGTTACAGTTATACTTCACCTGATGTTAAAATGCAGTGTATCCTTAGCAGTCTCGCCACCATCTGTGTGTGTGTGTGTGTGTGTGTGTGTGTGTGTGTTTGCGTGCACGCGCTTGCCTATGTCTGTGTGCATACACTCAGTACAGTCAGAAAATGTAATGAAAGAGCAGAAGAGAAAGCCAGAGGGATACTATTTGAAAAGAATTTAAGTGATAGCTGGTCTGGTAAGAGTCTTGTGTCTAAGAAACTAAAAGTGAGGGTTGAGGAGCAAAGGAGAGCTCCTCGCTAAGAGCCTGCAATGAAACTGAGACTTCAGCCACACAGAGACAGGAACGAATTGTCTGCCCACAATGTAGCTGAGCACTCACATACATTAAATAAATAAATCTTTTTTAAAAATCTTATGTTTGAACACCCTTCCCAATTAAAAAAAGAGAGAGAGAATGAGCCTTAATTTGTAAGAGGATTTGCTGTGAAAGGAAGAGGACCTGAGTTCAATGCCAGCACCCACATAAAAGCCTGGCATGGCTATGCATGCCTGTAGCTATTGGAGGGTGGACTGGCTAGCCAACATGGCCGAAACAGTGAGCTTCTGCCTCAGTGAGCCTTGTCTAAATATAAGGTGGGGCAGTAGAGGAAGACTCCTCGTGTCTTCTTCTAGTCTCTGCATTGCACACACAACCATGTACCCCCTTGCTCACCTGCATGCACATGCACCGTGGGTATATGTAGAGAAAATGGGGCTTTGGTACTAAAGCACTGTTACTGAATGATTGTATGTTTAAACCGCTTTGGAGTCTGTTCAGAAATGGTGTATTTTAAATAAGCACATACTTTGTTTTCTAGGATCAAATCTAAGTCGCTGTGGTTTCCGAGGCTCTTCATACCTGGGTATTCCATTCAATCCATCAAAGGTTAGTTCTCTTTATGTTGGAAGGTGGGAAAAGGATGTAAGGAGATTTTAGTGGGAAGCAGATGAAGTCATTTAGAAAGAACTAGGCTTCTAGGTTTAATATGATAAATATTAGTGATTTCCTGGAGAAAGTGTAAATACAATGCTCAGGTACTTTCCATGAAGCCAGGAAACTTACCTGTGTGACAGGACTTATGCTGGGCTCTTATTTCTCAGGAGAGAGAAAGCTGTTTTCTGGGAAGTGACTGGCATCCCAGGGCATGATTAGTGACTTTTATAGCTTTCCCAGCATTTTAGACAGAGGCTTTTCAACAGGTCCATGCCGGTATACAAAGATGTCCTAACAAAGCAAAGCTTTTTCTTCAAAGAAGCAGGTCCACAACAGTAGCTGTAGGTTCTACTTGTGCCCAGAATTACCAAGTTTTTTCATAGTAGAAAGTGGAGAAATGTATGAATTTTCCCCCCTCTTTCTTTTTTTTCACCATTATCGGTATGGAATTCAGGGCCTCAAACATACCAGGTTTTACCAACTGAGCCATATCCTTACCTCTTTTCATCTCTTTTTAAAAAGAGGTCTCACAAGCTAGATGCTTGAAAGCTCATACCTGTGATCATCGCCCAGCATGTGGGAGCCTGAGATAGGAGGCTCTACAGTAAGGTTAAGGTTGGCCTTAATTCTATAATCAGTTCTATGCCAACTTGGGCCACAAGTAAAAATGTGCCTCAGAAGTAAAGAACAAACAAAAAGAGGCTTTTTTCTTGATGGATTAGGCTGCTTATAAGATGGGATTACTTCAGGCCCATCAGTCAGTATGGGATCACTCTGAGTATTTCAAGAATTATGTGTAGTTGAAAACTGGATGAGAAACTCCCAGGTTTTTTCATAATCTGATTCAAGGTCTTGGAATAAGTGGCAGTGATTGTAGCGATAACAAGATTGAAACAAGACTGTTTAGCTTTATTCTTCTCACTGAAACTATAGACAAGCTAATCTGAATCAGGGTCAGATGACATCAACAAGATGTCTTCAGTTAAGTGCCTTGGTAGCCGGCAATATGGCAACAAAGGATTCATAAAATGCGGATTTTTTTTCATGCATGTGTTTTTCAAGTTAACCCGACCCTGAGTAAAGGAAGGCTCTCTAGTTAGCCATAATGAGCTTAATTATCTGCCTTTGTAGGGAATGATGCCTGTTGTGTAGCACCAGACCACATGCAGATGTAAGCTGTACTTGTTGGTGTAAAACAATGATTTTATTACACTTTTATGAGATAACCTCCACCTCTAAGCATTTCATATTGTATTTTTTAAAATTTGTTTTGAGACAGTCTTGTAATAATGTGAGGTTGACCCTAAAATCCGGGGTTCATGCCTCCCAGGCTAGCACTGTGGATGTGTGCCGTTGTACCCGAATCTCTACATGCTTTAGAAATACCAAGAACTAAAATGTCCCTTAAGAATTAAATGTTTGCCCCTGGTCATGGGCTCTTGTGACACCCAGTTTTGGCCCTCAGTATACCTCCCTGTCCCTTCTGAGGAACCAGGTCTCACTGTGTGTGGCCTTCATCTGAATTTCTGTGGTGACAGGAGCTAGAGGCTCAGACACTATCACATAGACCTACAAAAAAGCTGTTGAGGAGGATGGGAACGCAGATCTATGAGGCAGACAAACCTGAGGATATGTAAAGAGATTTTTCTCGTACTGTATATAAATAAAATATCTTCATAAATTTTTTTTTCAGAAACCACCAAACCATCTGTATGTCTTTGAGCTCCTAATATATGTATAGTTTTGACAGGGCATAGACACAGATCTACCTAACTTACCCTTTTTATTTTGCATGACAAACTCTATATATCCTCTGTTAATCATGTAATGCCTTTAATAGATTTTCCTTTCCTGCTTCACTTTTATTTTCTTTTCCCTATAATACCTTTTTCCTATCTACACCTTTCCAAGCTATTGTTCTCCTGCAGGAAAGAGTCCCTATTTAAATCTGTATAGGACTGTATTTTCACTCAGCTATCTCCTCATCTCTTAAAGGTTCACATTCAATTCATGTTTGGGTTCCCTACCATTCTTTTAAAATAGCATGTGTTTGGTTTAAATACTGAAAAATGAGACATGCTGTGAGCATTCCAAGAAGCCCATTATACGTGTGAAATAGAATAGTCAAGAGAATTAGAGCTTGAGTTCTGAGGAGAGACTTAAAAGGTGTTAAGATGAAAATTGTCTTAGTGAGACTGTATAAAAGAATTGGATGTAAGGGAGGGTCAGTGGGTGGGTTCAGAGTTAAAGGATATTAAGTATCATGCAGACTCGCTCTGTGAAGAAGCACGGAAAGTCACAGTACAAGAAAATTATGGGATTAAGTTGCTAACCCCTTTTAATACGCATATATTATTGGCTAGAATCCACATATGAGGTTTAAACAGGGGTTTATTTCTGAGATTGTGTGACCTTGCTTAATATTCTACAGTTGAATAATAGATAAAAGTAAATATTACATTTCCTTTTTCTATTCTGAATGCTAATGTTTATTTGAGGTTGAAATGACTAACCTTCCTGATAGGATGACAAGGTGATGTGGTAATGACACTGCGGTGGTTAATTTAGGTTTGTACCATACACAGTATTTTCTTTCTTGGACAGTGCTGGGAATTAACCTTACAGCCTCAAGGCACATTAGGCAGGCATTCTACCACTGAGCTATATTCCCAGCCCAAATTTTACTTCTTTTTATAACTTTTTTGGTTTAAAATATTGAATGAGTTTCTAAGACATAAGTTTTATAAATGATAGGGTTGAAGTAAGTAGAAAGTTTTAAGTATGGGGTTTATCATAACATTGGAGAAGCATAAGATTTTGACAATTATATAGCTTATAAAAAGACACAGTGAGACATTTAAAAATTGAGGCATGTTTTCCCTAGTTGGGTATCTGTACAATTTGGTATAAGCAATATTTACTAAAACTTCATACCAAACTTTATTTGTGAAATAAATATAAAATTTCAATTAATTTGATGATATTAATTTTGAATTTAGAATCCTGGAACAGCTCATCCTTATGACAGTGGGCACATAGCCATGACCTACACTGGACTTTCCTGTTTAATTATTCTTGGAGATGACTTAAGCCGAGTCGATAAGGAAGCTTGCTTAGCAGGCTTGAGAGCACTTCAGCTGGAAGATGGGAGGTATGAGCTACACATTGTTACTATTATGTTTAAGTAAAAACTCTTTGGAGCTTAAAAAACAAACAAACAAACCTGGATATAATACTGTAGTAGATCTTTTGAGCCCAGGACTAGCAAAATAGTTCGAGTTAGTGCATAATTAGTGTGTTAAAGTACCTGGGCTAGACTCCTAGTCACATAGTGGAACAGAACCACATAATGTTCATATATATATGTGTGTGTGTGTGTGTGTGTGTGTGTATTTATTACACATTTCAATATATATATATATTCAATATATATATTCAATATATATATATATTGAAATGTGTAATAAAAAGTATACCATTTTACATGAACAAAAATAAAGCTAACTTTCTAGTAGAGCTCCTTTTTTTTTTTTAATTTACCATCTGGATGAAAAAAATATTTTCTCTCCAGCCCATTGAGGAACATATTTAAATGACAAAGAAGTTAGTACACACTGATATTGGTGCTTTATGTTTTGTAGACAAAGATTCTTTCAAGAGTTTAAGTTACAAACAGTTCTAAGTTGTTAATGTGATAAAGTAGTAACTGTGATCTCCAAGAAAATAACTGTGTGGACCAGTCTGCTGCTTTGTTACATCTTTGCCCTGTACACTGTGATCCTATTTTCTTTTCTGTGTTTTCAGAACACTGCTCTTGATGAGGGAAAAATTACTTTAGACATAATAAATGGATATTTGAGAATCCATTGTTGTCCTGGATTCCTGCCAAGAATAGGAACGGAACATAGTTTTACCTCTTGAAAACTGTAATGAAACACAATAATAGTTCTCTCTATATTCATATAGGAGAAATTTTATGCAGTAAGCCATGGGTTTAGCTGGGTGCTGTAGCACACGCCTTTAATCCCAGTACTCAGGGAGGAAGAGGCAGGTGGATCTCAGTGAGTTAGAGGCCAGCCTGGTCTACAGAGTGAGTCTAGGACAGAGAAGTCCTGTCTTGAAAAACAAACAAACAACCATGGGCTTAAGAGTTTCTTACTACCAAGTAGTATGTGTGAGGTTTTATTTGCTACTTTTTCTGATGCTAGTTGGGAGCTGTTGTGCCACAGCTTTCCTTCTTGGAAGTAAACAACTTACTGTGAATAGTAGTTTATAGGCAGTGACAGCTTGTGAGCATGAGTGCTACCCAGGTGACTTGGGAATCATTTGTAGTATGTGGTACGAGTAAAGTCAGCAATAGATGTTTCTGTGAGGAAAGACGCAGAGCACATGTTCCTGGCTTGAGGTAAATGATCGTAATGTAGCTTCACATCCTTGTTTTCAGTTTTTGTGCTGTTCCTGAAGGCAGTGAGAATGACATGAGGTTTGTGTACTGTGCTTCCTGTATCTGCTATATGCTCAACAACTGGTCAGGCATGGATATGAAGAAAGCCATCAGCTACATTAGAAGAAGTATGGTGAGTTATGTTGATAAAACTGGTATTGAGGGCTGCAGTATAATGTATACCTCATCTCTTCATCAAGATTTGAACATAAGAGCAATAAGCTTAGTTTTTTTGTTGGATTTGTCTCAAAACACCATATAGGAATAATCTCAGATATTGATATCTTGACTCTTAAAACTTAGTACTTACACGTGTTTTCTAATCAGATTTTAAAGACAGTAACTACAGATGTTCCTCTCACACAATACAGTTTATTCTTGCAGTGGTGAGGAGGGCTCAGCTGCAGCCAGGCTCACCGTTTGCTCCCTCATCTTCTGTATAAACTAGAGGTGGAAGAGCTGCTTTCCAGACTTACCACTTCCCAACTGTGAGGGTTCACACTTTAGAGATGAGAGTTCTTAAGCCTATTAAAGCTATTTTTTAGCCTCCAGCAGATCTGTTAGTATCTCTCAGTGGAATGCCTGTGAGCTCTTAAAGGAGTGGAATTGGCTTAACTATGCATTAGATGTGTTGTTTCTTTCTGGTTTTTTTGGGATAGGATCTGTGTAGCCCAGGCTGGCCTTCAGCTCGCAGGGATGCTCCTGCCTCTTCCTCCTGAGTGCTGTATGCATCAGATTTTTCAGCTGTAAAATACAGAGTTTAAAAGCTTGTGACCACAGAAAAAGAGACCTTGAAGAGTTTTAAGAGTTATGAACTGAGCTCATTTCTATAATCTGAGTTGTCAGGAGGCTGAGACAGGAAGATGGCTGGGAATTTGAGGGAGGGGAAGAAGAAATGGGAGTGGGAAATGTAAAAGGAAGGGAGGGGGAAGGAAAGCAACATGGTAGGAGGTTGGTGAGAAATGTAAATTTGTTTTATTTCTGCTCACGTGGTTAAACGTGTGCAAGTTTTCTCTTTCTCACGAGAAAGCTCGTGTTTTCTTTTTTTGAGATAATTAACCATTTCATGGTAAAATATGCTGAGAATAAGTTGCCTGTATCTCATAACCTTTTATTATTCGTGTCCTGTGCACTGACGATTTTCTAGGAGTAGTACTAGTAATATAATTAGAAATTCCTTTAGGGAAAGCCTTCATTTCTTTATTTACATGTGTATCACCATGGACTATTCAATAGAATATAGTCTTCCAGTATCACATTGTCCTAGTTAGCTTTATCTGTAGAGTTCACACAGCCTCAAGTCATCTAACAAAGTAGTCTCAAAGGATGGATTGCTCAGGTCAGATTGGCCTGTGAATGTATCTGTGGGGGATTGTCTTGATTGTTGATTGAATTGATGTAGGAGGACGCAGTCCACTGTGGGCAGCCCTACACCCTGGGCCAGTGGTCCTGAGCGACTTAACGAAGTTAAAAGTAAGAGCCTCTGAGCCAACAAGCAACATTCCTCCAGAGTTTCTGCTTCAAATTCTTGCTTGAGCTCCTGCCCTGACTTCCCTCAATGATGAACTGTATGCTGAACTAAACCCTTTCCTCCCCTAAATTACTTTTGGTGAAAACGTTTTCACCATAGTGAAACTAGAGCATATTATATCTTGATACTCAAATTATCCCAGATTTGGTCTGTGAGAACCTTTTCAAGCTGGATCGGTAGCCTTTTGACATGTTCCCTTCATTCTTTGAAGGCTTTCTGGTACAAAATACTGGAGTTTCAACTTTTACTTTTTTTAGCCTTGGACCTGCACTTGTGCATTTCTTAGAGAAGCCTTGGTCCTTATTAAAATAATGGTTTTGAAACATGGATCTGGGTTCTAAGTAGGCTTATTAACATTGGATATCATTGCTTCTAGACCCTTTCTCATCAGGCAGAATGAAGAAAGTTATATATGTACATATCCATATACTATACCTTATACATACACATGTAAACATAGTCTGTGCTTGTGTGTGGTTTTATTAGCCTGTATATTAAGAACCTGAGTCTACTAGATAAACTCAGGTTTCAGTTTACTACACAGGATCTATTTGTTTTTCTTCTTTGATAAGTTATTTATTTCAACTATAGTTACTTATTTCTTTTTGAATTCCTGTTTTAAGTATTTGTTCCGTTTAGACTTCTCCATCCACCCAGAAGCTGTTGATATTTATTCATTTATCTATCTGTCTGTCTATTCATCTATCTTTAGTATTATTTGCTTAATATGTATAATTAACCTTTCTGGATGTCAGAACTATTAAAGGAAAACCTCAGAAAAGTGTAACTTCTTACTCCCTTTATTTAGCACCCTTTCCTAGCCTTTCTTTTTCTTCACTTTATAGGTAACATTCTCAGTACTTTTTCATTTACCTTTCCAGTATTTCTGTTTGATGAGAAGACCCATCTGCCTTTTATTTCTCCTTATTAAAATATTACCATAATCTGTATTAGCTATATCTGTATATCAAATGGGAGTTTATTAGGGGGGGCTTACATATGCTGTGTTCTGGCTAGTCCAAAAATCGATATCTTCTGATGGAAAGGCCACGGATCTGGTAGTCCATGGGGCTAAATGTCTCAGCCAGTCATCACTCTACTCTGGAGTTCCAAAGAAGTAGGTTTTTTAATACCAGTGAAGAAATAAATACCAGCAGGATAAAGCTGCCAGTGAGAGTGAAGGCAAGCAGGCAAAAAGCAAAAGCTTTTAGATCTGTCTTCTAGATCCTGTTATGTGGGCTGCCACCAGAAGGTGTGGCCCAGATTTAAAGTTAGCCTATGATCCAGATATAGGATATGTCTCTCCACCTCAAGTAATCCAGTCAAGAAAAGTCCCTCACAGGTGTGCTCAGTTGTGGGGGTTTTAGGTAATTATAGATTTAGTTAATTATAGTTTAGTTGAGTTGGCAATCAAGGTTAGCCATCACAAGTCCACCCCTTTTCAGTTTGACACAAATCATCTATATCTTTATGTAATGCTTAATTTCCAAACGAAAACCAAAACCAGGTCATAATTATGCCTCCAGATAGAGCTGTAAATGTATCATATTTAACCAGGTGATAACATACTACAGATACCTTTTCTGGTAAATTGCTTTTTTCCATTGAATAATATACCTTGAAAATCACAGTTTCTTCATTCTTTTTTATTGCATTTTCCGTACAGTTTCACTTTATTTAAATGTGTGGCCATAACACAATCTTTTCTAAAATTCTTTATTGACAACTGTTCTGTATAGAGAGTATCTATTTCACACTCACAAACAGTGCTATTGTTGATAACCTTCTGTGTATCTTTTTATGTATTACAGATACATTTTCAGGTATATTGCTTGGTCAAAAGCTAAGTGCATATGCAATTTCATTAGCTATATTTTGTTTTCTTATCCCCAAAAGGTAGACCAGGCTGTCAGTAGTAGTCTTGTTACTGCCAGTTCACTGCCCTTACAGTGTTTTCAGTAAGCCTGTTTCTTTTTTAGGAAAAAAAGAAACTTAATAAAAAGATAAGGCAAATTGTATTCCAACTCCCCATAGGAGAGTATCTTTTTCCACATAGCCTTCCCGGTAGAATGTTAGACTTCTTTTTAAATCTCTTTTCTTTTCTTTGTCTTTATTCTGTCATATTGCACCTACCCAACTCCAGTGTGGGAACCTAGGTCTTTTTCCATGCTAGGTAAGCGCTCCCACCAGTGAACTACGTCACCAGCCCTATTTTGCGTTTTGGCTTTCTGTATTTCAGTTTCATATATGTTCTTTGCTTTTCTTTCATTTCAACCAGGTTCTCTGGCGTTTTTACTTCTTTTGATTGTCATCAAAGTAATGTTTAAGATCAAGCTCAGGGCCAGTGTATGCTATGAAAGTACTCTGCCACTGAACTCTCTGCTCTATTTTTATCTCTTTATCTCAGTTTTATATTCTTAATTATTTTCTGCCCTTTTTAAGAAAAAGATTAATTTGTAATTCTGTGTGTGTCGAGAGTTGGCTGTGTGCACAAGAGTGAGGTGACTGTCAAGGTCAAAGAAGTTGGCTCCCCCTGAAGCTGGAGTTATAGATGATCATGAGCCTCCCTTGTCCACTCCAACAAAGGTGCTGGAAACTGAGCCTGGGTCCTTTCTTTAAGAGCAATCTGTGCCCTTAACCACTGAGCCATCTCTCCAGCCTCTCAGGTTACCTTTTAGTGTTTTCGTTTTAAATAATTGCTCCTTAGGACTCCTATAATATAGTGTCTTCTTATTATTTTGTCTTTATTATTATTTTGTTTTGTTGGGATTTTTGTTTGTCTTTTTGAGGCAGAATATCTCTGTAGCCCTGGCTGACCTGGAATTTACTGTGTAGACCCGGCTGACCTTAAATTTAGTGAGATCTACTTGCCTCTGCCTCCTCAGTGCAAGGATTAAAAAGCGTGATCCACCATACCTGGCTGATCTTGATATGTCTGGCTAATCTCTGTCTTTTTTTTTTTTTTTCTTCTTTCCCGAAACCATTTAACACATTTTTTTTTCTACTGTTAGTCCATTTTCTGTGTAGGTGTGTGTACTTGTTAGTGTTAGTGTGTGTGCGTGTACGGAGGCTGCAGTGGATATTGGGAGTTCTTCCTCGGTTGCTCTCTTCCTTTGTCTTTTGTTATAGTCTCTTGCTGAACCTGAACTTCATTGATTAGTCTGGCTACTACTGAGCTTAAGGATCCCCTATCTTGGCATTACTTGCTCCAGTGTTGGGGTTGCTGGGAACTGAGCCCAGGTCTTCTGCAAGAGCAGTAAATGCTCGTAACCATACAGCCATCTCTCCAGCCCTTTTCATTGCAATAAAGTATGGTTTCCTTAGTGAGTGGTTTGGTGGTGGGACAGGTGGTGGTGTCTATGATTTCCCTGGCAGACAGAAGTCTTCCTTTTCTCAGGCTTTTAAACTCTTCTATTGAGTTCTCCTTTATCACCTGATGCTTACATGGCCTGTGTGTCTCATTTTTACCTTTCTTGTCCAGATGGCATGCCTTTGAGCACTTACACAGCTTGACTTATATACCCTTTTCTCAGGCTGTTAGTATGGCTTGTCCAGCACAGCACTAACAGCCCAAAGATTACAATAAATAATCTTGTTAACTGAAAGGAGGTAATAACTGTTGTTCACAGAGTGTGAAGAAGATGATATAATTGGTCATGATCATGATGTAGTTTGTATTTATGTAAATATTTGTGGACTAAAGAGCTCATATATTATACAGTTACTCAGTATATAGTGCTTACAAAGAGTTGAACTTATTATTATTTAAACCATGGTAACTGGAATCCTTACATACTAGTGCCAGCAGAGTTAGGCTGCCTCTGTTTTCACTCTAAGAACGATCTTCCTCCTAGGCAGTGATTTTAGATCAGTCTTACACTGAACAGTAGCTCCCTCCTCTTTCTTCCTCATAATTCTTCCCTAATTACCACTGGTCTTTGTGAATGTTTTTCAGAGAGTTTGCTGAAACTTGATGCTTCTCTTTTCTGCTTTTGCTTTGTTTTGTTTTTCTAGACAGGATTTCTCTGTGTGGCCCCTTGGTATCTTTGAACTCACTCTGTTGACCAGGCTTGCCTCACAGAGATCCACCTGCCACCACTGCCCAGTGACTTGATGCCTTTCTTTAGGCACACAATCTGAAGCTCAGGAGTGTCTTTGCAAAGACTGAGTTTACAAATTTTATCGTTCTTACTATTTTGATTTTGAAAGATATATGAGGACCTTGAAGTTTAGGTGGCTCTCTTTCTTAGTAAGTGTCTCAGATTAGACTTATTTTACGACCAAAGTTGAATAGGTATTTACAAATTCTTATATTTCCATTCACTGTCTATTCACTTGGAAAAGTGTATGGAGTAAGGGTTGCGGTTATTATTGGATAGAAGCCAAGTATGCAGGGTACCCTGGACACGGCTCAGATGGACTTCTCAGGAAGGCACTTAATGGTTTGGCCTGCTAAATATGAGAAGAATGGGGACCGCAGATGCGACTTCCACATCTTTGGAAAAATACTTATTTTAGAAGATGTAAAAGAGATCAAAACAGTTGCCTAATTGGCAACTTATCTACTATTAGAATTCTTATTTCTCCATTAAACTAAACTCTTTTTCTTTTTCAGTCCTATGACAATGGTCTGGCACAGGGCGCAGGACTTGAATCTCATGGTAAGTCCTTGTAAATGGTTGTTTACTTTTATAGATGGTTGTGAGCCCCCATGTGGTTGCTGAGAATTGAACTCAGGACCTCTGGAAGAACATCTAGTGCTCTTAACCCCTGAGCCATCTCTCTAGCCCTGGTTGTGTGGTTTTAAAATAGCATGTGGTATCTTCAGCACAAGAACTGTCTCAGAGTTTCTCAACCCTTGCTGTAAAATGACTATCTTTGTCGCTTTGCTACATCTGTCTTTTTACACTGTAGTACTTAGCTCTTGAAATCTCTTAGATCACTAATGTTAAGAGATTATTCAGAGCAGAAAGATTTCTAGTAATTTGTTAAAATGTTAACTGCATGAAAATATGTTGGTATTGTTTCTTATGCTATTGCTAGAAAAAAATCAGGTTATTTTCTTTGGTATAACACTTGAAAGACTAAACTAAAGAGCTATATTGAACATGAAAATTTTTATTTACCATCCATAATATAATTATCCTTACTGATAATCATGAACACTTTTCTGTTGAACAGTCTGTGGTTTTCCTCACTTTGGGCAGGACTAGAATAGTGAGATGGAGCCATTAAGCTTGTTAGCACATCAAAGATATGTATCCTGTGAAATAAACATCTCCATTCAGAAATATGCTTCCATTCTGCTTTTCTAACAATTAAGCCCAGATGCTAGCTTCACTTGATGTGCTAGGCTGTGCTCACTTGCTGCCTTCATCCCTCTGCTATATGATTGGAGCAGGGCTTTGGCCCTGATACCACCAACTGTGTGACCTTGCCTCCTAAATCTCACTAAGGGTTTCCTCATCAACAAAAGAGAAGTTTTGTCTTTCTGGATAGAAGAATGTTTCCACCTTTCCTGTGACTCGCTATTACAATATGACACCATGGTTCCAGTGCAGGCTTGAGTTGCACAGATGGGTGTAAGTGCAGTGGGTGATAGAGATCCCAAACAAGATTCACTTCCCATGATCCATAAGCGCTGATTCTGTGGATTTCAGAGATCTGAACGCAGGTCCCTACATTTGTACTGCAGATGCATTGTGCACTAAGCCATCTTCCCAATCCTGCTTAATTTTCTTGAGATGAGATCTTGCTGTGTAGCCCAAGCATACTTCAGGCATGTGTTATTCCTGCCTCAGCTACTGTAGTGCTGCGATCACAGGCATTTCACTACCACACTCAACCTGCTAACAAACCCACAGTGGAGAGGTGGCTCGGTCAGGCCCAGTCAGTCAAGTCCCTGGCATGTCGGCATGCTGACTAATGACCTGAGGTCAGAGCTGGGCATGGAGTCATGCACCTGTAACCCCAACACTGGAGGTACAGCAACAGACAGATGCCTGAAGCTCCCGTTTCAGTGATAGACTTTGTCTCATAAAATTTGTAGAGATTGAGGAAGACCTCTGACATCAACTTGTGACATACACATGTGTACACATGAACTGCAAGCACATGGAACACATACATAGGCTCCATGATCTTCCTCATTTCCAAGACGGTAGAACTGTGTAGGAATATGGAATAGCTTACTGTCAGATTCCCTGACTTTTCAGAGGAGCCAGCAATCTTGGATTTTGAATGTTTATTGTCTTAGTTTTGTGTGTGTGTGTTTGTGTGTTTAATTTTTAAATTATTCAATTAAGCTAATTTCCTCCCATGTCATCAATTTGTAATCTCAGATATGTGCATGAAGGTGAAAATTATTAAGTAATTTAGCTGCTGCTTTGTGCTAGCTATCATTTGATAATTTACATATAGTCTCATTTAATGGGAATACCAGCCCACTGAGAAAAGGCTTCTTTGTACATGGTAGGTTCAGTCAGAAAGGCCAAATCACTATGAGATTGAAAGGAAAAAGGCCTGTTACAGGAACATGCATTTACCTACTAGTAATGCTTGATCATTGCTGGGACAAAATACCTGATGAAACAAATATGGAAGGAAGGGTTTATTTGGCTCACAGCTAAAGGGCATAGTCACCGTGGGAATTGCTGGAGGCAGGAGATTGAGGCCTCTGTCACACTTCTGCAGGTAGGAAGCAGGAAGAGGAATAGTGGCATTTTCCCACCTCAGCTAACCTAACGTAGAACCTTCCCAGTAGTAGTAGTAATGTAATGTAGTAGAGGTAAGGTAGTGGATGTAAGTCCTGTCAAATTGACAGTCAGGATTCGCCACTACAGGACCGACAGTGAACATGGAGTTCAGGAGGAGAGGAGAGGAGAGTATCGGGCTAGGGCAGCACCACCCGCCCGTGCTCAGGCCCATAGTGCTCCAGGGGCCTCACGTTGAGCTGTGGAGAGATCGCCAGGGACACCAGGGCCAGTGCTCTTCTGCACCCACTTCTTCTTGGTTTCCTTTTGTGGAGCTTCGCCTTTCCGTTCGTTATCCTGGTGTGACTTGTTAGGTGAGACTTTGTCAGTTTTCCGCACCCAGCCCTGAGCAAGCTCTCTGATATCTGTAATGCTGGCTTCATGCTATGTTCATTTGTCACTGTCCATCTACTAGCGGGACATGAGTGCTTTCATCTGATTTCCCGAGCTCACCCACACTGTACTTGTGCCGTTGGTGTATGTGGAATGGATTGTCCTCTGGGGCACTTTGTCAAGTTGAGTTTGAACTATTCCAGATTAATGGTATTCTTGCTTTTCGTATGCTTTTATCCTGTATTCCCCAGTCTAAATATACACTATATTGGTTTTGGCTTTAGTGATTTCTTTCCTACTTTTTCTAAGTCAATTGTTTTATTTCTTGGTCTGTATATGTACTAAGAGAGAGTGACCAGGCAAATGGTGATCTCCTGTGCCTTGATCATTGAGTGTGCTGCTTGCTTTATCCCGCTGGTTCACCAAGAGCAACGCACTTTGCAGGGGACAGTTTTAATATGTTCTGTAAGAATTGGGTTGTCTGAGTTTGTGATGGACACAATGATTTTTTTTTTGTCTCTCAGGATTCATAATAGGAAGCTCAGACAAAATAATTTGAATCTATGGTTCTTTTAAAGTATCTCTACTTCTTAATCTAGAACAGAAATGTTAAATCCCTTTGGCCTTAATTTCCTTTGAACACTGAATTCCCATGAATTTGCTTTTCTTTATCATTTTTTGTGTGGTGCATAAATACAAAATGTATTTGTTTTATGTGCCTGTGTGTTTTGTTTCCTGCTTTACCTCTGACTACATGCGTGTGGACTACCTTAAGTTCCACGTTTTAGAGGACAGATTCTTCCCTGTAATTTGGTACATATAAACAGGAATGCTCATAAAATTCACAACATTGAGTAGTAAAGCCATTATGGGATAGAGAGTTTAATCTACCCTGTGGTTTTGCTCCTGTCTTTAAATCTCTTGGGTAATAATGCCTAGCCCCATGTAAATACTGTTTTACTGTATTGGGTAGGGAGTGATAAGAAAAAAGTCTGTGTAGAAGCCATTTGCTTTTTAAATGGTTTGTATTCTCAGCTGCCTCACTGAATGCAGAACCTGAAGACATGGAAGAACTTAAAAACAGAATTCTGGTATAAATCATGTAATTTGAAACAGATTCCTTTATCTTATTCCAAGCCCAACTTTTTAAAATAAGTAAAATAATGACTCTTACAGCTTTAAATTATTTTAACTGTATTCTGTTTTGCCAGTTGACGTGGGAGACTTCACTGTAGAGTTGGTTATTGAATTTTATTTCACTGTCCTGTAGGCTAACAGGACTATTCCCCCTTTCCCAACATTTTTGTGCAGCCCATAGATATCTGAGCAGAAGTTTACAATTTGTGTTTTGATCATCAGGGGGATCCACCTTTTGTGGCATTGCATCGCTGTGCCTGATGGGCAAACTGGAAGAAGTTTTTTCAGAAAAGGAACTGAACAGGATAAAGAGGTGGTGTATAATGAGGCAGCAGAATGGGTACCATGGAAGACCTAACAAGCCTGTGGACACCTGTTACTCCTTCTGGGTGGGAGCAACTTTAAAGGTAAAAGAAGCCATGGAAGTAAGACACCCAAGCCACTTGATAGTTATACCTGCTTGAAACTTACACAGGATTTGTTACATACTCATAAGACCCTGTTAATAAAGCTAACTAGAGCTTGCAGACCAGGGATTGATCAGGAAGTCATACCTGGAAACAGGAAGTTAATTTAAAAAGATAATGGTAGACATTCACTGGAAATCCATTTAAAATGTTTCTTTTTATTGTTTGTTTTGCCTAAAACTTCCAAAGTTCATTAATTGGATTTGTTACCTAAAGTCACTTAGCTATTATCTATATCATTTGCACCTTGAAATGCCTTCACCCTTAAGAACCACACTTTGTGCAGATGTTCTAAGTATAATAAGTTTATGTTCATCTTGTGTTAGAGTTTCATTACTGTGAAGAGATGCCATGATCAAGGCAACTCTTATCACCATGGTGGGAAGCATGGCAGTGTCCGGGCAGACTTGGTGCTGGGGAAGGAGTTCTTAATCCACCGGCAGCAGGAGACCTCAGAGGCCGCTCCCACAGGGACACACTTCCTTCAGGAAGGCCACACCTCCTCATAGTGCCACTCCCTGAGTCAACCACATGAGTCTATGAGGCCCCTATCTACTCAAATCACCACATTCTTGGTTTTTTTTCCCCCTCGTAAAAGCCATGCATGTGGTCAAAACAAATCTTGAAATAGACTCACTTAAAATGAAGGCAGTAGCCTATCTGTTTACTTCTAATGCCATTTTAAAAATGTTTGTACCTTTTTAATCATGAAAACTTCAGACCTACTTAAAATAGAGAGGGTAGTGTAACAAATGCCCATGCGTCAGTAGTGCTCATCCCAAAGCAACTCTACTTTATCCGTTTTATGGACATTCCTCCCAGTTACTGTGTTGGCCTCAAGACAACCTTTGCTTTGTTTTTTGGAAATTCTCCAGTATGTTTTCTGAATGAAAATAACTTAAGAAAACAGCTCTCTTACTATTAATGTCACATCTAAATATGAGCCGTAATTGCTTTCCACATTATGTATCACCTAGTGATGATAGTGTTTCTTGTTGCATTATACCCAGAAGCTCCTAATACCAGACCATCTCTCCTTTTGGTCAGAAGGCTCTGAATTGTCAAGCTGGTGGTTCTGTTATAAAGTTCTTACTAGCATTGTGATGAACTATAGCATAGTATAGTTAGTTATTTGTATATAATTCAGTAATAATAATGATATCCAAAATAATATATCACTATCACTGCCATTATGTATATGACCTCTGATCCTGTCAGCAGTAATGTCTCACTGTCCTGTCCTGTCCTCTCCTCCAGCCCCTGGTAGTTCCTGTTCTACTCGCTATCTCTGTATACCCATCATGTTATTAAAATACCTGACAAAGCAACTGAAGGAAGGAAAGGCTTGTTTCAGCATAGAGTTCTGGGGTTGCATCCCACTGTGGCAGGGAAGGTGTGGCGGCAGGGTCAGGGAGTGGCCGATCACATGTGTCCACAAGAAGCAGAGAGCAGGAACTGCTGGGTTCACTTAGCTTTCTCCTGCTTGTGCAATTCAGGATCTCAGCCTGGGTTAGTAGTGCTGCCTACTTTCAGGGTGGGTCTACCTACCTCTGTTATCCTAAGCTAGTCTTCACAGGCATGTCCAGAGATTTGTTGAAAGTTGACTCTAGCTCCTGTTGAGTTGACATTGTAAACCATCACATTGATATATGTGCATTTCTGCAATACTGTTTTTCTGTGTCTTCCTTATTCCCTTAGCATGATGTTAGGAGCCATGTGTAAGTTTTCCTTTTTGTGGCTGAGTAGTGTTTCTCTCTCTCTCTCTCTCTCTCTCTCTCTCTCTCTCTCTCTCTGTGTGTGTGTGTATGTGTGTGTGAATTTTAGTAGGTATCTACTGAATGTGTCCTTGGGTAGAAGTTATATCTTTACAATATTAAACCTTCCTGCTAACGAACTGCAAAGCAAATAAAAATGATACTGTAGTTGGCTAATTTAAGTGCTTAAGTCTCCAGAGATTTGCTCTGAGAGTAGAAACTAGAAAAAGGCCTATTTGAATGATCAGTAGCTGAAATGTGAGCCACAGGCCAATAAGAAGTTTTGTGCCTGTTAATTTTTATCATTTTGTTTTTAGCTTCTGAAAATTTTCCAGTACACTAACTTTGAGAAGAATAGGAATTACATCTTATCAACACAAGATCGCCTTGTGGGAGGATTTGCCAAATGGCCAGACAGTCATCCAGGTAATTATGTTTGGCACGAGTCTAAAGCAGTATGTGTTTTATTTCTTGGTAGACCTTGTAAGTATATGTCTTTTTCAGAAATTGTACATGATAGAAAATATTGTCACAGTTCTAATGGTATAGTAAATAATATGTTTTGTAAAATATTCTGTCTGAAGGCCTGTGGATTGGGTCAGTGGATAAATATACCTGCTGCCAAACCTGGTGACCAGGCTTTAGTTTTCAGACAGATTGATGGTATGGGTAGTATAAAGGAAGGGTAAATTGTCAAGATATTTTAGTATAACATGCAATCTCCCCATACTCCCAATACCTAGCAATGTTTCGTGTATAAAAGTATGCAGATGTTCTGAATGGGTTCAGGTCAAAACAAGGAGTTACTTGGCTCATCTGAAACATCAGGATTATTAGCTGTGACTTGACCTAACAGTGTTACAGTTTGCTTTTCTGTTGTTGTCATAAAACTTTGACCAAAGGCCACTTGAAAAGGAAAGAGTTTATTTGGCTTATACAACTAGGCTTATACATCACTGAGAAAAGTCAGCTAAGGGACAGTTTCTTGCTGGCTTGCTTTCTGGCTTACACTGTCATGTTCAAGCCAGCGTTTTTACAGAGTCCAGGATCATCTGCGTAGGGCTGCTGCCAACCACAGTGGGTGGAGTCTTCCTACGTTTAGCAGAAATCAAGACAGTGCCCCACAAACATAGCACAGGGGAATTTGAACTGGACGGTTCCTCAACTGAGGTTCCCACTTGAGAAGTGATTCTCGATTATTTCATGTTGATAAGACTAATCAGGACACTGAGTCCTGAGGGGAACAAGAGTGACTTCTAAGTTTAAAAAAAAAAAATTTTTTTTTTCTCAAAACTAAATTCAAGAACACATTATAAGTGCTTGGGTGTTGCTGTAGTAGAATGCTTATCTAGTATGTGTGAAGCCCTGGATTTGATCTAACACAACGTAAACCAGATGTGATGCATGCTTGTAATCCCACTTCATAATAGTGAATGCAGGGGAATCAGAAATTCAGGGTCATCTTTGGATATATATTGAGTTTTAGGCCAGCCTGTCATCCATGAGAACCTGTTTTAGACAACATCATTTACCATGAGCCAATAGACTTCACCGTCGGAATACAACAATAATTCAGCACACACATCAATAAATACATCACATCACATAAATAAGACTCAAAAGTAGCTGTCACATGATCATCTCTACATACAAAAAAGACGTTGACACAGTTTTACTTTGCTTTGTGATAAAAGCCCTGAAGAAACTAGGAATAAAAGGGATGTAACTCAACATAAGGACGGTGCACAGTATAAACAACAGTGAAGAAAAACTCAAAACATTTCTACTAAAATCAGAGACTTTCTCCACTCTTAGTATATAATTCTTAAAGTCTTAGCTAGAGCAAGGAAATCATGCCAGCAATTGACAAATGGGATACCATGAAATTAAAACCTCTCTGGGTAACAAGAAACAATGTAGTGGAGAGAGCATACAGAATGGGAAACATACATCTGACAGAGGATTAATATCTAGTATACATAAAGAACCTAGAAACCTGAATACCAAAGTCCCAACCAACCCAGCCCATGAATAGACTAATGAAGTAAACAGATAGTTCTCAAAAGATGGAAGTCAGATGGCCAGTAAAAATGTAGGAAAAGAAAAAAGATTCAGCATCATTAGTCATCTGGGACACATAAAACTACATTGAGATTCTTTTTCACCCTTGTCAGAATGGCTGCCGTTAAATAACCAGAATGTCAGGCAACAGAGTCCGTAAACACTGCCGGTGAGAGCATAAGTTATTCCAGCCACTATGGAGATCAGATTGTAGGTTCCTCAGAAGACTGAAAGTGGATTTCTCGTATGACCCAGCTATACCAATTCTGGGTGTGTACCTAAAGGGGTGTAAGGCAACATACTACAAAGAGCCTTGGGTAGCCATGTGCCCTCAATAGCCCAGGTATAGACCCAGCCTAGGTGTCCTACAGCAGATGAATGGGTAAGTGAAGTGTGGTATACAGACCCAGTGGAGTTTATTCAACCATAAAGAATGAAATTATGTTATTGGTGGGAAATGAATGCAATTAGAGATCTTCATAGTAAGCAGAATGCACCAGGCTCGCACAGGTACCTGTCCCCTGTTTTCTCTCATTTGGGATTATTGATTTTATGGAGACACAGACAGTCATTTTATGTGCCTATGACACTAAAGCAGAAGAGACTCAGATTGGAGAAAAATGAGGGTATACATGATACACTTCAGTGATAATGTCTTATGAAACTTATTACTATCTACAGTGAACATACTTAGTTAATAAAATTTCTCAAATTCTGAATATAGGTATTCCTTGCTACCTATACTTTCCTCCAAATTTTGGCAGTTTCAGTTAGTTCTTTTCTTTTTTCTTTTCTGGCAAGGTCTTACTTTGTAGCCCCAGATGGCCTGAAATTTACTGTATAGATCAGGATGTCCTCAAATACACAGAGATCTACCTGCCTCTGCTTCCCAAGTGCTGGAATTAATGGCCACTACTCTGGTTTTAGTTTATTTCTTTAGGTGAGTACTTTAATTTCTGAGTGCTCATGACTGTTACCTAAAATGTAGGCACCAAATAGCTACAGACCATATGACTGATACCCCCAAATTAGCACCTTCTCTAGCATCCTTTTCCAGCCTTTTCTCACCTATTCTATTCCACTGACATGAGCCTATTTGCTTATCTGTAAAGATCGTGGCTAACATAATAACATGTTATGTTTGATCAACATGTTATTGAAGTATCTATAGACATACACACCTAGTTCTCAGGCATGGCCATTGCAGCATTGTAATAAGAATCATGCTCTTGGTTATCATAACACTAGTGAGTGCTTTTCTGCTCATCTCTAGAGCTTCTGGGCTTGGAGAGTGTACTTGTATCAAAATATAAAGAAAGAGCCTCTTGAAATCTTTATTTTGTGCTTAAAGTAAAAGTAATAATTACACCTGTTTTGTTTTTTTTTTTGTTTTTTTTTTTTTAATGAAAAACATACTCTCTTAGAGAAAATGTGGGATGCTTCAAAGGCATATACCAACATATGTTTTCACAAATCAATTTCCAAAGCTAAGTAATAGTTTTGAGATTTGGGGGATGTATAATACATAACTATATGTTTGACATCTAAGAAATCTGGTGATTATTTTGCTCCTGGTTTCTCTGGTTTTTGTTGTTATTGTTTTTGGTTTTGTTAGTCTGTCAGTGTTTTTACAAATAACAGAAATAAACTTTTGGAAACCATCTCATTTTATTTGGAATACCAATGAGTTCCAGTACTGGAGAGTTTTATTTTTGTTGTTGTTGTTTGAGTGGCTTTAGGTTTTTGAGACAGGGTCTTATGATGTGACTCAAGTTACTTTTGAACCCACTATATAGCCAGAGATGATTTTCAGTCCTTAATCTTCCTGCTCTTGCCTTCCAAGTACTGGCTTCAAGTTGTGGTCCACTACCAGGCCTTACGTTCCTGTTCTGTGTATAGAGGGAAATTCTTGAAGTTTTTTTTTCTAGGGAGATCAGTTGGTAGGCTTTGTACCCACATGTGGGTGTGATGCTGATTTAGAGACACAGTGTCCTGGAGCTGCACACTATTGAACAGAAGGTCTGAGGGACAGGGCCTACTTACCAAAAAGCCTTTAGGAAGACCTTGGAAAAACAGTCTTCCAGATGAGCATCTTAACTTGGCTTTAGTAAGAATTGTAGCATATTTGACCCCAGGGCTTTTATTATTCTTGTGGAGAGTACTTTGTCTTATTAAAGGAAGTATATCACTGTCTACAGATGAGGATTTTGGGTTTTGGATTGCTTGGGGAGTTTTGTTTGTTTTGCTTTGTTTTAATGATTTGAGGTTTAAAATTAAGTACAGATTTCAGGCTTTTACAAAGCTTCTTTTACAAAACTGCATATGGAGAGATTTAGATTTTATACAAGATCCAGTTTATACTATTCTCAAATTGTGTTATGCTCCCTGCTATTCACCCTTTTCTTTTAACCTTTATTATATGTATAAGTATTTTGCCTGTGTTTATGTCCGTGCACTGTGTGCATGCCGTGTGTGCAAATGCCCCGAAAGCGTGTCAGATGCCCTGGAATTGGAGATGCAGACGGTCATGAGCTGTGGGTGCCACAACCCTGAGACCACCCAGTGCTCTAACTGCCCAGCTAGCTCTCCAGTCCCTTCTTCTAACTTTTTTTTTCTTGAAAGTGTTGTTTTTCTACTTTCTTTTTCTTTTTTTGTTCACCTTGTAATTTTAGAGTAAACTATAAGGAAGAGGGGAAAGATTATTTTTACTCTGAAAGTTAGAGGAGAGTGAACTGTTTAGCATGTGACTTAGATCTGCTGAGGAATTCTGAACTTTAATAGTTCTTAGCATCTTAACCTTAGAATGGTGGCCATTTCAAAAATAGAAACTCACTCTCGGCTGCTAGGAAACTTTTTTGTAGTGTTCCTTTTACTGCAGAGTTCTGAGCGCTTCAGAAGTCTATATGAGGTTCTCCGCAGGGAAAGGCCGTGTGTTTTCATGACTCCTCAGTAGAGGGTGAGGCTCTCTGTAAAGGGGAGACCAGTGAGGCTAGAGAGAAGGGGTCATTACTCCACCACATAGAAAGTGAGCCTGTCACTGTCAGTCAGAAGTGGCACAGAGTCAGGTGGCCTCCATTCCCTTCCCCTTCACAGTGCTGGTGGATGCTTACGAGCTGTGGAGACAAAGCTCGGTGGGAGGGCGGGTGCTGCTGCAGGTTTTAGAGGCCTGCTTTGTTGTCGGTTTTAGAAAACTTTCTGGGATTCTGGTAAAGGACATGCTGACCATCTGGAAGGCCCTGGGTGCAGTTAGTACCATGAAAACTGAAAATGATAGAAAAATTTTTATATAATATAAATTCTTTTTTACATATTGTAGTCCACAGAAGGCATTGGTGTTTTGATCCTTGGAGAATGTAGGCAAGGAAATCATGTGTTGTATTCCTGTAATAGTAATCTCAGTAGTAAAATACACGATTTTGATTGACTTTTAAAAATACTGTTTGAAATTGAGATTAATTCTTTCACAAGCTCGCATGTCTCTAATTGTTTAATGTAGTGATTGGCTGTAGATACTTTGCAGTATGTACAAGTGAGAATGCTGACCGTGGCTTTATTTCAGATGCTTTGCATGCATACTTCGGGATCTGCGGTCTGTCACTAATGGAAGAGAGTGGAATTTGTAAAGTTCACCCTGCCCTGAATGTCAGCACACGAACTTCTGAGCGCCTTCGAGATCTACATCAGAGCTGGAAGACCAAGGACTCACAGTGCTCAGACAGTGTCCATATTTCCACTTGACTGACCCTGGGTAATGGGTTTGTAGCATAAGTGTAGCTCAAGGTTAAAAGCCATGTGTAACCAAGTGTGCTCTTCTTTAAGGGGTAGTTTTAAAAGTCAAAGCTTGTACTGCTAACGCTTCAGGATGTGCTCCTGAGCCAGTAACCACTGTACTGGATTTCAAGAAAATCCTTGTTCAAGTTTGGACCTCAGCAGGACTCTGCTGTGGTGTTTAATGTTTATGCTGTGTTTCTGAGATGTTTCATGGGGCAGATTGACTGTATGTATGCAGGTTATCATCTTAAAACCCTTTATACAAGTTCTGGCTTATAAAATGGATAGAAATCTTCAAAACAAGTTTACACTTCAAATGGCATTGATAATCTTCAATTGAGCATTTAGTGATCACTTAAAAATCTATTGCTGATGGTAAGAAATTTGCTTATTGAATTAAGTATCTGGGATTATTCTTTAAAAATTGATGGTTTTATAATTTTCTTAAAGAATAATATATTTTGCGTTATTCTTAAGGTGTGCCAACTAGACTTGGAAGCTATACAGATAAAATTAAAAGTTCATTTAAGAAAGTAAATAGGCTTAACTAATAGTATAATTTTCTAAAGGGACAGCATTACATAATTGATAGAGAAGTAATTGGCCTGTATTATTATGAATGAGAAGGTTCTGTGTTATGTATCTTTATTAGAGGTTCCTTGGGTGAGTACCTGTTGTGCTTTGTTTTAATCCAAATCATTGGCTACCATTTGTCAGGGGTGAGGGAGGAAACAATCTTTGCCATCTAGAAAAAAAGACATTCAGTGTTTATTCTTCTGAGAAACATGACACTGTAAATACTTGTGTGGTTATAACTGAGTTCTTTTTAGTTGCATAGCTGTTTTCTTTTTTCTTGTTCAGTGTTTTGTATCTACCATAGTTAGCTGTTTTATCTCCCATCTACAAGGTTGAGCATCCTTAATCCAAAATCCAATATCTGGGCCAGGCATAGTTGTACACGCCATTAATCCCAACACCTGTATGCAGGTGTGTATCTGTGAGTTCAAGGCCAGCCTCATCTACAGAGTGAGTTCCAGGCCAATTGGAGCTATATAATGCATTAGACTCTGTCTCAAAAACAAAACAAAAACAGCAACAACAAAAACAATAAAATCCATTATGTGAAATGCTTCAGAATCTAAATTTTTTGACTGACATCATGACACAATTGGAAAAGGTTACCCTTTACTTTAATGTGACTGGTTACAGGTAGATTTCAGGGACACTGTAAATGCTGTATAAAACTACTTGAAACTACTGAATAAAGTATATGAAATAAGTGCATTCCATGTTTAGACTCAGGTCCCATCCACAAGGTAAAGTTATGTGCAAATATTCCAAAATTTGAAAACAGAATCTAAAATCTGAAACATTACTTTTGGTTTCAGGCATTTTGGATAGTGATACTCAACCTGTAAATAATTTTCTAATGTTTTTAAGTTTGGTAAATCTTTAAATATAAACAGAATCACTGAAGTATACATAGTCATTTATATTTTTATATTTTTGGCTAAGTGGGAAGGGAATACATTCATTTAGAGGGAAATATATAAACTAGGGTTTCACTTACTCATTGTCTTGTTTTCTTGTCTTCTATGAACTAACAACCAATGGATGGTGTAAAAATTCCTTCTTAGCAATCAACTTGTCAATAAATGACGTCCATGATTTGGTGACAAGAAGGAAATTTTCTCAGAAGAGGAAATGGGTATGTTAGTTTTGGTAGTAATAAACATATTATTAACCTACAGACATCATTGTAAAAGCTAAATTATTAATGTCACTGGATAGATAATAGCATTTTCATTTATTTCCTACATAAAAATACTTCTAAAGGGAAACCTGGCATATGATTAAAAATAATATATCTCTTATTGGCATGCTCAGTTTTAGACTTGAGTTTACAGTGCCAGGAGTCTGACTCATTGCCTGGTGTGCACAAGACCCTTGGTTCCCTGGCTTTGATCCCTGGCCACCAAACTAATAAGCCAACCAAATCCTATTTAGAAATAAGTCTTCCAGTAGTGGAAAGAAAAGCTTTACCAATACATGTTATCATCTCATGAGCTTCTCCAGTTTCCTCTATTTAAACCTGAGCAAAAGACAGCATTCCTGTCTCAAACTGAGTTGTCTCTTAGACATTAAGAACTGAAGTAGCATGTATGAATGCTGTAGGCATATATCAAAAGCTGCTGCTATTCCTGAATTTTATCAGTTGTTAAAAGGTAAGAAAGTTGGCTATTGCCGGGCAGTGGTTGCACTTCCCTTTAATCCAGCACTTGTGGACAGAGGCAGGTGGTCCTCTGAATTCGAGGCCAGCCTGGTCTACAGAGCAAGTTCCAGGACCACCAGGGCTACACAGAGAAACCCTGTCTCAAAAAACCAAAAATAAAAAAGTTATGAATAAATAGATTTATAATATAAAAGTAATTTATATTTTCACATTCCTTGAATAATTTGCTAACAAAGGAATATTAATGGGAGAATGATTCTAATATATCTAAGAGGTAAGGTTCCATGTGATACTTTATGGACCAATAAACGTTCATGTTTCATAGAAACCAACCAAAAATACCGAGTTGTTATGAGAATGGAAAAACTGTTTCTAGAGTTTCTTAAATAGTTAAATCTATGGAAAAAAATTATTAATAAATTATAAGCAACATATGTGATCTGTTTTCTAAGAGTAGTGACATAGTAAGAGGAAAAACACAAAGTTCAGATGTACGACATCACTCCCTCCTCCCCAACCTCTCTTTTCCTCTTATACTTTTAAAGAGTAGTAGCAAAAACCATTTATTTATTACCTACTTTTTTTTAGGTTTGACCTATAATATTTGTTTTTATTAGGTTTTTAAATACATAGTTAAGGGTAATTAAGTTCAAATATAAATTTTGCTGGTCATAATTTAAGAAGTGTTAGACCTGATAATATTTGATAGAGTGGTAAGGAGGTTATCTAAAGCTAGATTATTTGAGGCTTATTTGCCCATTGAGCAGCATGATCTTGGACCCAATTCTGCCACTGGTAAAATGAAGTAAACAGCAGAATTTCATTCACTGAGCTAAATTGAAATTGAATGAGGTAGTATGTATAGCATTTTGTATAAAGCAGATTTCTAAATACAGTTTCATATGATCACCAAAGTGTTTTTAAAGTGTCTTATACAATAGAAATCTTAACAGAGTTTAAACTGAAGGAACAGGCTGCCAGTGATGTAGTTTTAACCCCCTAAGTAACAGAAAGAATACCAACTATAGCCATGGTTATTGTAGAACTAGGTGACAGGTGGTATCCTCGAGAGCCTCAGAATACAAGTGAAAAGAAATGTGACCCGCATAGTTTCACCTTCTGTGTAGAGGATGTAGGAGGAAAGCAACCGTGTTCTGAGGCCCTGCAAATTGGAGATCTGTGGCATTGCCGTGTTCTCACTACAAAGGGCAGTGGGCCAGTGTGAAAATAAAAGCTGAGACTCAAAAGAGCTCTACAGAAAGAATCCTCTTAGTAGGCTGGTGCATGTTGAGACAGCAAAGGGGGGTCATGACTGCAAGGCCCTGAGACCTACCTAATACGTGAAAAGGCAGTAACGGCCGAGTGTTGTGTCTGGCGACGCCCATGGTCTCAGAAGCCGAGCAAGGAGCAAGGAGCAAAACGAAACAAAGTAAAGGAAGGAGGCAGGAACGATAAAAGCAAAAGGCAATTAGTCTAAAGCCAAGAACTTCAAAAAGCTCCTTCTTGGCATGGTAAGGATGCTCAGGGAAATAACCCATCGGCTAATCTCCTTAAGAGACAGGAGAGACAGTGGGAAAACTTAAATGACAAGGGGAAAGGGCCATTCAATACAGCTGTTTTCCAGATGGCTTAGGAATCGCAGACAAATTCAAAGGTGAAGGTTTTAGAGAAAAAAACACAAGTTGATAAAATTTAATACAGAGAACACAACTGCCATAGGGAAATGCAAATAAAAGTCCATTGTACAAACTTGGAAGATTGAAGAATCTCAGTTTTCTTTGATAATTCCAGAGGCCAGAAAAAGGATCTTGAATTTTTAATTGCTGCATACAAGAAAAAAATTTCCATATTTACTTTGTAAAGTTGGTATAACAGCATTGATTCAAAAATACAACAAATGTTGTGCCAAAAATGGAAATTCTAGGTAAGTCAGGCTTCCTAACATCTTCAGAGCTGTGGCAATAGCTCTTTCAGTAGTGTTCGCCACTCAATCGTTAAGACCTGAGTTTGAGCCCCAGCACTCATGTAAAACACTGGTCTTGATGTTGAGCACTTATGCCTAGTGCTGACAGGCAGATCACTGGAGCTTGTTAGCTAGCCAGCCCCGCCTAATTGATGAACCTCAAATTCCCCTGACGACCCCCGTCTAGAAAATAAGGTGCAGCAGGTGGGCTGTTTTGGTTGGTAGAGGCTCTGGCTTTACAAACCTGGCAATCTGAAGTAGTGAACTCATGTAAAGGTGGAGGGAGAAAACCAACTCCTCAGAGTTGTCCTATGGCCTCCATATGCATGGCCATGACACGTGTAGCCATACACACAAATAATAATAAATTTTAACCCAGCGTGAAAAGCTAAAGAACAACTCAGGTTGACCTCAGGACTCCACCCTCCTCCATATCAAATTATTCAGTGATTTGTTAGGCTCACAACCCAGTAGCGCTTGAAAGAGGGAATAAAGTCATGGCTCATTGGAGTTTTTATTAGGAATGTAAGGATAGTTCAATTTTATACAATCTTTCTATGGTGTTAAAAGACATCTGATTTGATAGAATCAAGTGCTCATATCAGAAATTGAAATACAATTCACTGGCATAGCGTCTCTGCCCTAGAGGCAAGCTTTTCACCATTGAGACCAAAAAACCTTTCTGACAAACCAGAGTATGGCTGTCCTTACTGTCTCCTGTACTACGTAACACCATTCTAGAACTTTTCATCAAGGAAGTTAGAGCAAAAGCATGAACCAGGAAGAGTTAGACTTAGATCATCTACTTGAAAAACCAAAACCTTAAAAGAAGCTGAGTTAGCTGCAGTAATTAATGTGAAGGCAGCAGGAGGCTTCAGCAGACCTATGGGAAAGGACTGTGTTTCCACAGTTTCAGATCAGGCCAAGTGTTGTGAGAAACCTTCCTCTTCAGCCCCTTCCTCCCTCCCCAAAAGTAAGTGCAGTCAGGACTGGCTCCATCACCAGCCACATCCATCTGTTTGTGAGCTTTATACAAGTAAAACCATGTAGTACACATTGTTTTTTACTTGGCTTCTTTGCCCTAGAAGAGAATACAAGGGCTCTCTGGTGCTGGTAATGTTTGTTCCTGACCTAGGTGCTGGTTACATAGGTGCGTTCATTTTATGAGTATTTACCAAGCTGTTTAATCAGTCATGCTTTGCGCACTGTTCTGTATGTGTAAATACAATTCAATAAAAATGTTTAGAAAAAAAAGACTTCATTTATACATATCTACATAAACCTTAAATAGTTTAGAAAACATACCTCAAGACCTCTCTTTGTGATTGCTGAAACAGAAAGACTCATGTATGAGCTCAAGAAGGCATGTGTAAAACTAACCTACATGAAAAAATCCTGTTTTGGGGGAAAAAAAATCCTATCTTGGAAGACAAAATAGACTTGAGCAAGGATGCACCTTGTTAATAGGAAGACAGCAACAAAACAGGTTTCTTCTTGGGTTAGTTTTTTAATTTAATACCACTGCAATAAAAAAACTATGCTTGTTCTTATTTGAGAGAACATATTAGAATAGGCAGTAAAACTGGAAAAGTAAGAAGAAACCAGCTCCACCAGACACTGAGTGTGTTGGTAAAAGCTATCAAAATTAAATACGTATACACCTTGCTCAGGCAGTTCAATATCCAGAGCTTTACATTAAGCACACAAATAGATGATGTGTCTCAATGACCTTCTATTGTATATGGCAGTCATAGGAGAAAAGACTGTGTCACATTTACACAGTGTGATACTATAAAAGTGTTAAAGACACAATGGTGTTTGTAATATATTGCTAAATGAACCAAAAGTTTGGTACTGAAAAATAGTCCAGTGAAACAAGGGGAATGAAATGTCACAAGAAGTCCCAGCAACACGTTAAAATACAATAAAGACAACATCTGAAATCAGTGAGAAAAACTTAAAGTATTTTGAGATGTCCTCGGAGTAACTATTCACATATTTCCAAATACTTGAAGAATGTATATAGCTTCATCCATTTCAAACCTTTGCATGTTTCACTATACGTCGAGATACTGTATATTCATTCTGTAACGTAAGTTTTTGTCGTTCAGTGATATAAATGTCTTTAATATGTGTATTTTAACGGCTGAGTATTGCCCAGTTACTATTGGTGTCTTGTTTTTCACAGTTACAGATATGTTACTGTAAGATTCTTGAAAATATATCCTTGCCTGTTTGTTTCTTTAAGGTAAGTTTATGGATATGGAATTGTTGGGACAGACTTGTGCACATTTCAAATTCTGGCAGCTCTTGGCAAATTGCTTCCTAAGAAAGCCATGCTTGCATGGATTCTGCCTTCACCCTGAGACTACATACCATCAGAAAATGGTCCGCTACAGAGTCACTGCCCTGTGGCACTGGGAAGGACTGCTGCTGCCTTGGTCCCTCACCTTGCAGTTTCATCTATGCTCCAGATCACGTGCTATCCACGTTTGCTCTTTGAGTCCACAGTGTTTCTTTGGCTGGGGTGTTTATCCCCCCATTCTCTGGCCTCCTTCCACGTTTCTCCTAGTGTGCTACCATTCACTAAAACCCTAATTGAATTAAGGACTGTTGCTACAAGTTTGTGGGATTGTCTAAGGTATCTGAAGATCATATTCTGCACATATGTGGTGTCTTCATTTCGGAAGGTGGTTCTATATGGCGCTATAGGACTATATAATACAAAACACAGTTTTTAAAAAGTGTCCATGAAGGCTTAGGATGTAAGTAAGCAGAGCAAGTGCCCAGCATGCACTAGTCTCTGGGTCTCATCCCTAGCATCATCATCAAACATGAACAGTAGGTGGGGACCTGAAAGGCATGTAAAACTGAAATGAAAGTGAACATTTTTGTTGATGGCTAAGACTCATAACCAGCCTCTCCCCTCATTTCATCAAATTCCCCTGAATTTGCTAAGACTTCGTGCATTCTCTCTCGAGTGAAGAGAATGATGACTGAGACGATCAGCTTCATGAGTGCACTTGAGTAGTTTCCCAGAATGTTAATAGAAGTTCATCTTTCATTTAAAGCTCAGCAGTTGAGTACCATAGTAGACCATCCACAAAGAATATTTTATGGCACTTATTTTAACAGAACACGCTACGAAATTCCGCAGTGGTTAGACTACAGAAATACTCATGCAGTCCTTCATACAATATCTTGTCTAAGTACTCATTTTATGGATTCTCTCTTCCCCTCCTGTATTCCTGGCTGCCCTCAAATTCTGTGTAGTTGAAAATGACCTTGAACTTCTTATCTTCCTCTGTTTCTGCACTTCTGGGATTACAAACGTGCACCACCATGGCCATCAGTGTTAGAGATTGACTTTAGGGCCTCATACATGCTAGATGAGCATCCTGCTAAGGGATACTTAGGTTGTTTCTAAATTAAGAGTGTTGCTGTAAACATCGATTGTTTTCTGCAGAAGTCACACAAAATAAATTTCTGGGCCAAAGGACGTATGTTTAAAACCATATTAGTACTTACTGCTAAACTGTCCTATACAAACTGCACATTATCTTACCAACCAGATGTTGTGCTTGCCCATAACCTCTGCTGTGCTGGAGACTGGAGAAAGACAGTTGTCCCTTGTTGACAGATATGCAGAAACAATGTGTATGTAATATTGAGTGTTGTAGATAATTTAAAAGTAAAGGCTAATAATGTTTATTATTAGAACAGTAATCATTTTGGCAGTATTATCTAACCCACTATGAATTCAATAAAGACACAGACACCTGATAGATTTTAGAATAGCCTTATCTTACCTAGGGTAGGACAAATATTAACCCTCTAAACTACCTTTACCTCTCAAGCTTCTACCCTACATCATCTGCTCTAATAATTTCTATCTGGGCCACTTCACATCCATAATCTCAAATTACTTGTTCCTCATCTGGGCTGCTTTCGTCCATCCACACTGTTCCAGCTGCGGGCTCCTCTCCACACTAACCAATTGCCATTTTCTGCTTCCTTCCTCTTCCTATACCTGTCTCCTTCTTTCCAAGTTCCTTCTCTCCTCCAAGTGCACTTGCCTTGGCCACACCTCCCTCACTTCTGCCCTGCCCAGGTGTGTAGGCATAGTTTATTAACCAATCAACTTTAAGTTAGTTGGAGCAAGGTTTACACAACAAGGACAGGGATATATGAGAATGTGCTCATGGAAGCCAGCAAGGTAACAAATACAAAGCAACAGACCATGCTGTTAAAATTGAGTGCTGAGTTTATAAACCTGTGAGTGAGAGCAGAAAATTCTCTCCTTTAAGAGGACCTAGGACACCAGTTTCCAAAGTGGTTTCCAGATAGAAGCGTCAGCATCACCTGGAACAACAATAACTACTACTGCTCATTCTTAATAAATAAACAGATAAATACTTTATTAAGTTAGCTTATGTTAAATAGCAATAATAGTTATCTCACACCTGAGACCCCATAGTTGCTCAGCTCAAGGGGCTGGTGACTCAGTCCTCCCAACTGGCCCTCCAGAAATGAAGCCTAGAAACACTAGTTCTGACAACAGCAGCAACAACAAGATGAAGGGGTCAAAAGGGAAGAGCAAGTGAGTTCATGCTGAATCAGCCAGGAACATCTCATAAAATGCAGATATCCTGCTTCTAGTGAATTGGAGACTGAACAGGGTGCCAGATGTCTATTTTCACAAGGCTCTTGAGAGGTTCTGATGCACATTTAAATTCAAGATTTAGAGAAATGAGCTTGAGTAGGATAAGGAATAACTATTTGTAAGTTTTATATTTGAAAAATAGGGCTTGACACCAGTGCAGTGGTTAACACCTATAATCCCAGCACTCGGGGAGGCAGAGGCAGGTGGATCTCTGTGAGTTGGAGCCCAGCCTGGTCTACAAAATGAGTCCAGGACAGCTAAGACTACACAGAGAAACCCTGTCTAAAAAAAGGAAGAAAAGAAAATACAGGTTGTACTCAACAGTAAACTCAAGGTAATTCAGTATTTTTTTTTACTGCCATCCCCCAAAGGTGAGTATGTGGTAGTAGGATAGAAAATGTAGTGAATACTGAAATGTGTAAATAAATGAGACATTTATTTCTCCAGTGTACCCTGTGTTCACTTACTAATTTTTGAGTAGAGGTTAGAGAGGGACCTTTAAAATTCGTGCACTAACAGTTTCAGCTAACTTCAGCTAACACTCCTTGCGTAGCCTGTCTCCTTTTCTCCTTGCTGTGCGATGTTTAACTCATGGGAGGCCAGGGGGCGCTCTGCTCTACACAGCTGCTGCCCTGGCCTTCTTCCTGGACTGGTGCCTGTTGGAGTGCCTGCTGTTGTGGCTTTCTCCGTGGTGCCTCCTGGACTGTCTGTCCTGGCCTAGCATGGCCTTTCAAAGAAGGTTTCAGACAGCTTCTAATTTCGCAGTCCCAACACTCTGGCATCTTTGTTCCAAATTAGGCCCCTTTCTCTCCAAATGATGTCAGTGATTCCTCTATGCTGACCCTCACATACACATTTATTGCTCTATCTTGTGCCAAAACTCCTAAATATTCTATATATGCAAAGAACTCCCTTTGTATATATCTAGCAACCTCTCAATTTTTAATGCCACTGAATATTGACAGAAGATAAGTCAAAAGTTACTTTACCTAGACCTTACGGTCTCTCAGCTATACCTCTAGATGCGGATCACAGGAACACTACATACCATATGTCTAAATATTGAAAACTTAATACAGCATCTCAACAAACCATGTTCCATTTTCCTTGATTGAAAAACACCTTTTCATGATGGCAGAATTGAAAACATAAAGACTAACAAGTCATACTAAAGAGCACATACCCACATTCAGCTTTGTTTTCTACCCTAGGCTATACCCTGGAAAAGATTTCCTCCTGACTTGGTGGCTTGCCAGCACCTAATCTCAGGGAGTGTTGGAGAGGGGTAGATGTCTCCTCATTGCTCACATATATGAACCTGTAAATACATTCTATCCCAATCATGCTATCTTTGCTATGTGCTGAGCCTCCTACACCCATCATATCACCTTCTAATTGTCTCTTAGAACAAGGCTGGGAAGTCAGGTTTTGATTTTTTTTTTAATATCTGTGTTGGGGTTCCCAATGCAGAACCAGCCCTCATCTTCCTTGCGAGTGTGCTGGCCCCTAGTATAGTCCTGGCCCCTTTGCCTAAGCTCTGTACCTCACACCCAGGTCCACCAGACTGCTGCTTTTTACAGCTCTGACCAAGGGCTACACACCCTGGTCCCACATCCAAAAAGTTGCTAGGGAAGAAGCCCAGGAGTGGGCTTTGAAGTGGGTTGAGGCAGGAAATAACTGAACCTGATATCTGGGTCATGTCTGGAAAGTGGCTGGATTCCTCATCTTGTAGGGAGAAGTGCCAGAAAGGGGTCCTCTGGGGGCAGCACCCCACTTCGGCAATCTAGAGACAATACCAGCAGGCTGACAGCCTCATGCAGTTAGTCTTCCAAATGTCCATCTACACTGACACTTCTGTTTACCTTCTGTTTTCTGTTCAGCTTTCCCCCTCTCCTTGCTTTCCCAGGACCAGGACCAGCAGTTTTCCCTTACTTTCCTGCACCAGGAGCATCCTTTCTTTTTTCCCTGTATTCTATACTACCATTTTTCATGTTGAGTGGAAGGAAATTGGAAACTTCTCAAGTGACAAGTGATTCTTGTTTTGCTGCCAATTCAAAGCCTGCACAATTCCTCCCTTTATACTTGCTTTAATATCCAAAACCACATTAGGTAAATTAAAGTCTTGGTGGACTAGAAAAGGCAAATGTGCATTATTTTTTTTTTCAAATTTATTATACCTGCCAAATTAATACAATAGCTAAAATGAAAAGTGTAAACACTGTTGGCCTGTTGTCAGGGCACTAAAGCAGGCTACCAGGCACTGAAAAGGCCGGATGTGTGGACTTAGCAGTGGGCAAGAAGTTGGCAATTTTTTCGTATTCAAATATACAAAGTACTGGTCTTTGAAAGACTTAGGTTCAGTAGCTACTCTTTTCTGTTTCTGTATTGTTTTTCTGACACAGGAAAGTAAGCAAAGATTACAAGTTCATCTTATGTATCCTTGCTACATACTATTCAAAACTTTCGGCATATAATACAAAAAATAGTATCTGTTGAGTAAATGAATTAAGAAATGAA